TGCCTGCAAGCCATCATAGAAGTTTTTGCTCAGTGACCCACAAACTCAGCAAATTTAACTTGTTCACATATACCTGATACAGCCAAAATGAAGCTGAGCTCAGGGCACAGAAACCCTGAAGTTACAGATATGAATCTATCAAGGCAGAAGTGCAGCGAAAGTCATGTTATGTTTGACCTAACATGAAACCTAAGTAATGCAAGTGTGAATGTAATGTTTGTGGTAATGTATGTCTTAATGTATCATGCAATACAAAATATTTTCTGACTATAGAATTTCCCAGTAGTATTATCAAAAATACTGTGGCTGACTGCAGTGCGCCCTCAGTTTATCATAATAATTCAAACACTCCCAACAAAACACTATATTTCCCAGCAAAACATGATGTTGAGGATGCCTCATTAATGTGTAAATTAATAATGTGTTTTAAAGATTTGATACTTTTTTTTAAATTACAAGTGTTGAAAAACTGTATTTTAAATATTACATTGTATCAGTAAATGAGTCATATTAGTACAATGTTAAGACTAAAATACCATTAAGTCCAGTGGATGACTTATCTGAGGTAGACACTGAGTAGGCAAATGCAGACTGACGATATCATTGATCTGGCAATCAAAACAGAAGCTTTACCTTAAAGCAGTGTCAGTGTAAGAGACAAAGGAGGAGAGTGTTTTTACAGCTTTTTTCATTGAAGTGATTGAAGTGATGAAATGATATATTACTGAACTTGGAGGAAGTTATAGGCTTCTAATGGACTTTATAAATTGTTAAATGGATAACACAAAGGCTCATGTTGCTTGCACCCACTCGAACACACACAGTAAGCGACTGAGTGGTTGACAGCTGAGATCTTACCTCATTCTGTGGTGAGGTCATCGATTTATTAGACAGACCCACACAGGAATTCCTCTTAGTCTGTTCCACAAATAAACACGGACAATTCAGTGTAGATGGTGAGATGAGAGTTAAGTTCTGATGTCTGTACAGCTACCATCACAATTCCACTTACATAAGATAAGACTTTATGTCATCCTCAGTGCCAACACTGTGTTAGAAGAAATGCAGCAAGCCAACAAGACCAAACCACCTAATTAGACCAACAAGAACATTTTTTTTCTAGTAAAAAACAATATTTTCAGAACCTGGTTTGTACTACAAGTAGGAAATTTTCTTTTTTACTATAGAGCTGTATCTCTGTGCAAATCAGAAGATACATATACTTCATATCAGTTAACATGGTTTTCTTTCAGCAGAGCTCTCTCACACACTACTAAAATCATGACTACACATGGACTATTAAAGGAACCCCATTAAGCTTTTGACCAGTACAGTATGTCATATCGAATGGGCTTAGGTCTGATTTTACACTATATTGCCAAAAGTATTCACTCACCCATCCAAATAACCAAAATCATGTGTTCCAATCACTTCCATGACCACATGTGTATAAAATCAAGCACCTAGACATGCAGACTGTTTCTACACACATTTATGACAGAATGGGTCGCTCTCAGGAGCTCAGTGAATTCCAGCATGGTACTGTGATAGGATGCCACCTGTGCAACAAGTCCAGTTGTGAAATTTCCTTGATCCTAAATATTCCACAGTCAACTGTCACTGGTATTATAACAAAGTGGAAACGATTGGGAACGACAGCAACTCAGCCACGAAGTGGTAGGCCATGTAAACTGACAGAGCGAGGTCGGTGGATACTGAGGCACATGCGGCACAGAGGTCGCCAACTTTCTGCAGAGTCAATCACTACAGACCTCCAAACTTCATGTGGCCTTCAGATTAGCTCAAGAACAGAGCGTAGAGAGCTTCATGGAATGGGTTTTAAGAATGGGTTACAATTGTTAAGCCATTAATCACCAAGTGCAATGCAAAGTGTCGAATGCATTGGTGGAAAGCATGCCGCCACTGGACTCTAGAGCGGTAGAGGCACATTCTCTGGAGTGACAAATCACGCTTCTCCATCTGGCAATCTAATGGACGAGACTAGGTTTGGCAGCTGCCAGGAGAACGGTACTTGTCTGACTGCATTGTGCCAAGTGTAAAGTTTGGTGGAGGGGGGATTATGGTGTGGGGTTGTTTTTCAGGAGCTAGGCTTGGCCCCTTAGTTCCAGTGAAAGGAACTCTGAATGCTTCAGCATGACAAGAGATTTTGGACAATTCCATGCTCCCAACTTTGTGGGAACAGTTTGGAGATGGCCCCTTCCTCTCCCAGCATGAAGGTGCACCAGTGCACAAAGCAAGGTCCATAAAGACATGGATGAGACAGTTTGGTGTGGAAGAACTTGACTGGCCTGCACAGAGTCCTGACCTCAACCCGATAGAACACGTTTGGGATGAATTAGAGCAGAGACTGAGAACCAGGCTTTCTCGTCCAACATCAGTGTGTGACCTCACAAATGCACTTCTGGAAGAATGGTCAAAAATTCCCATAAACACACTCCTAGACCTTGTGGACAGCCGTCCCAGAAGAGTTGAAGCTGTTCTAGCTGCAAAGGGTGGACCAACGTCATATTGAACCCTATGGATTAAGAATGGGATGTCACTTAAGTTCATATGCCAGTCAAGGCAGGTGAGCGAATACTTTTGGCAATATAGTGTATCTAAGGCTTAAGGCAGGGGTGTCCAATGCTGGTCCTCGAGGACCACAACCCTGCATGTTTTAGATGTTTCCCTCTTCCAGCACACCTGATTCAAATGATCAGCTCATCATCAAGCTATGCAGAAGCCTGATAACGATCCTGATCATTTGAATCAGGTGTGTTGGAAGAGGGAAATGTCTAAAACAGGGGTGTCAAACTCATTTTCATCCCAGGCCACATAAGCATTATGGTTGCCCTCAAAGAGTCAGTTGTAATTGTAAGACTGTATAAATGTAACGACTCCTTAACATATTGTTAAATAATTGTCTCTGCATTTGATTGTTATTTATTGTATGTACAACTATTGTGCATGCCTTTATCTAATAGTAAAATACATGTAGCAGGGCTTCAAACTAACTTTTCCAATGGTAGCACTGGTGCTACTGACTTTCTTTGTTGGTCATCAGCTAATGATTTGGTCCCCCCCCCCTATTTTGTTGGATCAGCATTGCCACAGCTATTAATGCACCATGCCTGGTGATGAATAGTTGTTTTTGCATAACTTAGTTTGTTGCAATGATTTTCAGTGATATAAGACTTGATATTTGTAAAATGTTTTAACCTTAAAATATATTTATTTTGTCACCAATCCTCTTCTGATATCAGTCATTAACTGGACACAGGCTAAACACTTGCTGAACATGTGTATGAGTTGATGGTACATTTTACCGATGTTCCCTAAACGCCTGACATGCTGCTACCAGTGTCCGCAGTGCAGCTCCTCTGAAAGGTGAGCGACCAAACATTTGTTGGAAAACAGTGGAAAGCACGTTCTACACAAATTTGCCCACAATGAAAGGATTTCTGTGAGCAGAGATTTTAAGCGGAGTTTTTTTTATTTTTTTTTAATGAACATACTTTTCTACGAGCTGAGCGCATTTTAAATGTCCATACCGCTGGCCATCGTGTAGTCAAAATTATGATCATTGTTAAAATGTGAATCTTCCAGATTGAATGTGGGGCTACTTTTTCTTCCTAACTGACTCAGTCGAGATCTGTCTGCCTGCACCTGAACACTTTTATCATCAGGTGTGTCGGACCTCTCCCTCTCTCACATCGCTTTTTTGCTTTTTTGCTTTTTTTTTTTTTTTTTTTTAAACATGGTCGGCTGTGTATCGTTTTGTCATTGGAACACAGTGTTCTGTTTTACATGTCAGGCAGAGAAAGTCAATGTGGAAGAAATATGCCTATTTCCAACCACAATAACTGGAGCAGCAGCTACCTGTGCTGATGGAAGGAACCAGATCAGCCTGATGATCATCGTCCACTCTCACAGTGCGACCACGTGAAACTTTAAATTGTCACATATGACAACATTTTGGTCTCAGTGTGGAGCCCTGTGTAGGCACATTGCTGTGTTATTATAACATACATTATGACATTATATTACGTTATATTATATCAGGTAAATCCCATTAATTTATCAGATTAAGAAACACATATCTCTCGCGGGCCACATAAAATGACGTGACGGGCCGGATTTGGTCCGCGGGCTTTGAGTTTGATATATGTGATCTAAAACATGCAGGATTGTGGCCCTCTAGGACCAGGATTGGACACCCCTGGCTTAAGGCATCATGTGTGCAAGTTCACATATAGAAGAATATATTTTACACACTATGTATCTCATCATATATTGTTAAAAGCTTTAAAAGTTTGTATGCTGTATCATCAGGGGGCTAGAAGGATCTTTTGGCTTTTATGCCACTGATTGTGAATTGGATGCCACAGGTTAAACACACATAAACACACTGTGAACCTGTGTGTGCCATATTTGTCAAGTTCATTTACTGTGTGTGCAGTGCAGACAGTAGTGGGAACACACACACACACACACACACACAGGATTTGTGTTGTCGGTGCTGCTTGCATGGCCAGTACTCATGCCTCATTGTGATGATGTGTTATTGTGTTTTGGAATGGTGATTTATAGTGAGCGTGTGATGGAAGAGCTTAACTACATCAGCAGTCATATTCTGCATCAACACACACTTTAAGGCGAATCAGTGAAGAGTGTGTGTGTGCAACAGTGGTTTCCAGTCATGTGCTGTTCTCTGATCACATCATTGTTGAAGTTTATTTCACTGACTGATGTATTACAGACTGTATGCAGAACAGCCAATTTAATACGGTAGATATGGCATATTTATATAATAATAAATGTCCCTACATTTCAGCATTTGGTTTCACATGACTGAAAACCACTAGTCCACTTTATAAAAGTGTCTGTTTTTTGTATGTGTTTATGTTGCCACATTCATCACAACAATAACATTCAGAATATGTCTTTATAATTCATGCTGTGTGCCCCTCCCTTCTCTTGACCTTCCTACTGTGGAGCAGGTGGGAACAGCGACAGTGTGTTTGATGTAGAGAAAGCTGTGGGGACCATCATCATTGCCAAGCCTCTGGATGCTGAACAGCGCTCCTTCTACAATCTCACAGTGCAGGCCACAGACGGCACCAACACTGCAAATACACAGGTACCACTTTTCCAATATTTGACTAACCTTTTACCAACAAAATTCTATCCACTCAAAAGTACTGTTTTAAAACACTTACCATAATAACAATAACGACCATATAATGATCATATTAGATACAACCATTCCTCTGCAAGAGAACTGTGAACATTGTGGCTTTTGGGCCGATCAATAGAAGTGATACATTAGCCTCCTGAAACATCTAAGCTTGGAAAATTATTTTTATTAAATTTATCAACTGAACACCAACAACTTAATTATCAAAAAGGAAAAACCATTTACAGTCAAATACTGTCCTACAGTACTGCACCTATTCACGTCAGTTGACAATTTGAATCATCCCTGGTGATGCGTCCACTGACATTCACTGCAGAGACATTCAGCACTTGCTTGATGTTGGTTCTCTGACTTTAGTCTGGTTTTCACCAGCTAAAATTCAGCTCAGTCAGACTGAGATCAGATGATTGACCTAGCCAATCAAAGATATCCACCTCTTGACCCTAAAAATGATTGCTTTTCGTTTACTTTTATTTATGTAGTGCCAATTAATAACATATGATATCTCTATCTAAACCCACAAATCCAAGGTTTCCTTTGGTGGTAGAGAGAGAATAACAGATATAAAGCAAACAAACAATGAACCAATGAAAAGAAGCTAATATGGGAGTAATATCATCTTTTTTACTTGTTCATGTAAGAACTCTGGCTGGAACACTTTGGATCAGCTGGAGAGTTTATGGACTTATTGGGACATTCTAATAACAAGAAATACAATAATAGAGGCTAGAAGTTACAAATGCATTGACTAGTTTTTACAGAATTTTGACAATATTGCATAAGTGAAAGATGGCCATAATCATTGACATGAACGAAGAGCAATCTATCTGATAAATATGATTTAAACCAGCCTTGTGATGTTCTTTTAATCCCATGGCATGTTGTAGTATCTGAAATAAAATGTTGTGCTCAACTGTATCAAATGCAGTAAAATTTGTTCACAAGTTTTTGATGCATTTTGCTCAATTTGAGTACACAGAATGCTACTGTACACCTCTGAATTTGCTTTGTTGCTTTTGTCAACATCAATTTCAAATCTTCCATCCATAAATCCATTATCTATACACTGCTTAATCCTCACTCGGGTCGCGGGGGGCTGGAGCCTATCCCAGCTGACTTATGGCGAAGGCAGGGAACAGGTCGCCAGTCTATCGCAGGGCATCACTTAGAGACAGACAACCAAGCACACTCACATTCACACCTACCGACAACTTAGAATCACCAGTTAACCTCAACGTGTTTTTGCAATGTGGGAGGAAACCGGAGAACCCAGAGAGAACCCACGCTGCATGGGGAGAACATGCAAACCCCATGCAGAAAGATCCCGGTGTCCCCACTGGAACATGAACTGGCAACCCTCTTGCTGCGAGGCAATGGTGCTAACCACCGCTCCACCTTGCAGCCCAATTTCAAAATCGTCAATAATTTCGATAAGCGAGTGTGCCAGTTTGACTGGCAGTCATACATGTCTAAGCCATGACAGAGTCACAATCATGTTTGACAGAAGAGGTGGTGCTTTGGGTCATAGGTGTTCCTTGTTCCCCCACACTTTCCCCTTCCATCTTTTTCATGGGGTTGGAATTTGTTTTGTCAGTCTTCAGAAATCTGTTCCACAACAACATGCAATTTCTTCTTTTACATTTTTTTGTAAACTACAACATGATATGTTGATGTTTACCGGGAATATGGTTCTTGTGTAAATCCTCAGTTCTACTCATCACTGTTGTATTTGTATTTATATATCTGTGGTCCGAGCCTTATAATAAGTGAGGATGAGCCTTTAATTATTTGGGACAATGAGTAGATAGCAGTCATTTTCAGGTTCTTCTCATGTTCTTCACATGCACTGCTCCGTAATAACATTTTAACAAACATTGCTCTGAGTTTCCTAGCACTATTAATGTTTCTACCTACAAAGCAGCATACATTGTTATGACTAGTAATAGGCTTCATGGTAAATAGCATATTCTACATGGTAACAGCAACATTGTTGTGGCACAATGTACACTGATCAGCCAGAATATTAAAACCACTGAACTGAGGTGAAGTGAATAATATTGACCATCTCATTACAATGCAATGTTCTGTTGGGAACCCTTCGATCCAGACATTTAGGTGGATGGTGCGTACCAAGTATCATTCACCTAAACATGGCTGCAGACCAAGTACACCTCCCTGTGGCAACAACGCTCCCAACATAGCAGCAACTTCCCCCTGTTAAATCAGTCTTTACTACAGCTTCATGACCTAAAACAATTTGTGTAAATGCCTCAGAAAATCCCAGACTTTGTTTCGCAGCAGTCTGATGCCCAATGTTGATCATTTTATGGCACAGCCATCATCAGCCGGCATTGATTTTCCCACATCTTTTTACTCTGGAAGTGGCAAGTGCCTGTGACACTGACTTGACCAGTGTACCCATATGTTTCACTTCAAACTAGCAATTATAGACAGGCTTCACCTACTGGGAACAGGTTTTTTTTCCCCTCTCTTTTTTAAAATTACTGTAACAAACTATTTTTATTGTCTTTTGTGTTGTTTTCCTTTTTGGAGAATTTGCCATTATAATGGTAAAGTTTTCATTTCCCTGCATAAAACTGCTCTACCAGAACAGGTTTCCCCCATCACTATTTGGCAGAGACGCAGTCATAGAATTCTCAGCACAAAGTGATTTTGATTGGTTTAAGAAGAAACAAACAACAACAACAACAACAAAAATAACAACACACACAATTGAAAGACCCTCCCCCCTAGAATGGAGTGATAGTGAGGTGCAGCCAGACCATTATGTAATACTTAGCTGGCTAAGCGAGACGACACATGACCTTATTCAGTGTGATGCTATTAAACTGCAATGCTGTCAGTATAACGCAGTGTCATTCGTCAAGAAGTCAAGCTTCCAAAACAAACCAGTAAGTGGAATCCCCACCCTTCTGATATAGTGTCAAGACTTAATTAAAATCTTTGCAAAAGATTTAGGCTTAGATTTTGCCACAGGTCATGAAGGTTAGTAACACCTTCATCACAGTCGCTGGCTGGTTTCACATAAATTCTTCCTATTCTCACACTCTCACACACACACACACACACACACGCACACACACACACACACACACACACACACACACACACACACACACACATACATACATACACTTACACCTGTAAGATGTGAGGAAGGCTCCCAGATGGAGAGTCAGCATGGCATCAAGCCGCCAGGGAATGTCTCTACAGTTGAGCAACAGAAGGCCAACTGCTGCAGTGGGGTTTAAATTTAGACTTAATGCCTGGCAGCACTCAACTCCTGTTTCCTATTTCCTTCCACTTCCTTTTATATTTTCTCTACATTGGAATCAGTACAAATTTTGGGTTCTTTTTTGTGCGCATGTATGTAGTCATTTTCCTCCTGCTGCTATGTAAGATCAGCTGTTAAATTTTGGCAGCAGCGTAGTGGCTCAGGGGTTATCACTGTCAGGTTTTGGGTATCAGGTTTTGGGTTTCAGTCAAGTTCTTGAACTTTTATTTTATCTCAGAACTTGGAACTTTCCACCTATGTATCTACTATTTTTCTACTGATTTAATTAACTGCATGTTTCAAATAGCCACATTCAAAGTGCAAAAAGCTTGTGATTGTGAGGCCTTCTCACATCTTAAAAAGTCTGAACCAAACTAGCTGTGTGGACTGGGTTGTTTTATTTGTTTGTTTTTTACTCTGTTAGCTTTTACTCACCACATAGAAAGCTGAGCATTCAGTCTGGAAAGTCCTGGTCTTTTCTCCGAGCGGATTTTGGAGCAGTAAAGCACCATCTCCAGGACAGCTGCAAATTAATTTCCCTGAATCTCTACATTAGAGGTCAAGACTGCAATGTTAGCATGACCCATAAAGCAACAATAGTCATATAATTGGGAAATACAACATGATAAAATAAATATGCTGAATTCTCTTTCATGGGTGAGCTTGTTGGGCAAGTGCCCAGAATGCTATCGTGGTCATCATAAAAGGAAATTTGTCCCTCTAATTAATCAGTGCACCACTTTGTGTCAGAAAAGTTCCAGGACTGGTGTCACAAAAGATATATTTTAAACCCAAACTACAAACTATGAGTTTTCCCCTTCAGACGATCAACCAGCACGTCTACAAAGAGATCCTGTGGCATGTGCTTTGTTCAGTGTGCGAGAAGAGACGAGAGTTGTGGCAGGACAAGTCATGACTGCTTCATCATGACAACGCGCCTGCACACAATGCCCTGAGCATCCGACAGTTCCTGGAGGAACACCACCGTCCAATAGCAACCTCTCACTCACCCGACCTGGCTCCATGGGATTTTTCCTCTTTGCCAAGCTCAAGGGGGTCATCAAAGGGAACCGTTTTCAAGATGTGGACGACATCAAGATGGCTATGACGACAGAACTGCGGAGGATCCCAGAAGAATCCTTCCAGGGGTGCATGGAGGCATGGGAGAGAAGGCTGGAAAAATGCCTTAAACTCCAGGGGGATTACTTCGAAGGGGAAAACTTTTAGTTTGTAGTTTGGATTTGAAATGTATCTTTTGTGACACCAGTCCTGGAACGTTTCTGACACACCTCATATTTGTATACTGCTACTATTCTTTGACTGTGCTAGTTCTGTAACTTCAGTCACTTCACTCCAGTGGAAGGAGTTAGTGTGTTTTGCACAGCCTTCCTGCTCTGAGCAGGTCAACAGCTCCATGCATTTGTGTTCCACAGTATTTCATTGATTTATCCAATACATAATCTTTGCATTTCACCAGTTGACATGTAATCTTGAAAAATCATGAAAAATATCATTAAGAAGCATTATTCCAAGGGCATTGATGCCAGACAGACATAACAAAGATTAATGAATGAGACTTGATTGCTTAACAACCCTCGACAATTAGTAGTTCCCACTAGCTGACTCTGTTCCTTCTACAGGGTAAGGGTTATGGTTAGGTATGGGTAATGAATGACTGTCATGACAAAAAATTGTTAACTATTAGGCAGGAAAAACATGATGAATATAGTATCTACAACATCAAAAGTTAGTTTAAAGAAAATTTAGCTGAAAGAGAAGGGAACATAATCCTCTTTAAGCATCATATTTGAGCTACTGTATTGATATTTTGTATTTTGAACCAAATCCTGACCCCTCTGTTCCTTACCATTTGATAAAAAATACACTTGCTTCAAAAAAACGGTTTGTTTATCCTGATGGGGAGAGTAGTGTGTTTCAAGGGGATGTGAGTAGTCAATGTAGTGTTCTTGTTTCCACACTTGTTCATGAAAATAGAGTTCAATAGCCCTTTAAATTACAGACATACATGCTCAGGTGTTAGATTGTATGATTACATTAGATTTCACAGGTGTACCTAATAAAGTGGCCAGTAAGTGCATATCGGCAAATATGACGAAATTGGGCAGGTTGAACTTTCTAGACGCTAATCTTAATTACTTCCTTTTCTGCATTTCTGTCTGCACCGTCTGCCTTTGTACCTACAAGTCTGTGCCTCTCCTTGTGTGTTTTCCTGACTCATGCTGGGCTTCAGCACCAGTCATATGTGACTCAGGAACTTTCCATGAGTCATGATACATACCAACCACCAATACTCTGCATGGCTTCTCTACAGTCTGTACAATGACATGCATTTAATCCTTCTCATTACTGTCCTGAATTGTGTTCTATTTTATAATTTGAGTGCCACTGAAATGGTCAAGTCCTATCATATGAGTTCTGCTGTCGAGACTCTTTATATTTTATCACAGATTAACTTTATGAAAGCCTCCTACAATCTGTACTTTGCCGCTGATTATGAATGCATAATTTCACAGAAACATATTTATTTTGATTTAAAATTTTACTGTTTTCAAACTGTTTGAAGAGAGCAAATTTTTTTGTATGCATCTCCTATATCCCTCTGTAGATGAAACAGTTCACCTTTTGAAAGGATGATACAGTAAGGACCTGATCATACTGGAAAGTTACCCCAGTGTTGTTAGACCAAACAACAGGATAAACCAAAAAAAAGACAAAGTAGTTCTGCGTTTTATGCTGTTATACAGACATCTCTGCATCCACTTCACCACATTTTCCAACAGCAGTCGTTCCTGGGCTGATAAAGGCAGAAAGATTCATGATCTGTAGACCCCTTGAGCCTGCATTGCTGCGTTGATAGTGTAGTGTTTTACAGAAGATCTCTGTCAGGAGAACAGAAAAAACTAAGTCTGCTACAAATTCTGTCCATATACAACTAATTTGCATTAGCAAATGTGTTTTGTGTGAAATATAATGCTGTCCAAGTTAGCACCGTACCTGGAAGGTCCTTTGTTAGAATCTCGGCCTGGGATCTTTCTGTGGGAAGTTTGCATGCTCTCTCTGTGCCTGCGTGGGTTCTCTCCAGGTGCTTCGATTTCCTCCCATAGTCCAAAGACATGCTGAGGTTAATTGGTGATTTTAAATTGTCTGTATGTGTGAATGTGAGTGCGCTTGGTTGTCTGTCTCTCAGCCCCCCCGCTACCCTGCAGAGGATAAAGTGGTTTAATAGACAATAGATTGATAATGCTGTCCAAGTTTTGTTATAGAAAATTTATATTTAGCATATCTGCAAGATTTCCCTTCCAGCATGACATGACATGTTACATCTCTGCATAATGTCAGCTACTCCGCTTGAGATAAATTGTTGCACCTCAGTTAATGATGTATGTTGTTTTTTATCGCTTTTCTCCCTGTCCTTTCTCTCCTATCAATGTCCCTCATGATACAGGTTCACATTACTGTTATGGACAACAACGACAACGATCCAGTCTTCTCCCAACCAACCTATGATGTCACTATTTCTGAAGATACACCACCTGACACTGAGGTGGTCCAAGTTCTGGCATCAGACCGTGATGAGCATCATCGACTGACGTACTCTCTGCAGAACTCCATAGACCCCAACAGCATGCGTCTGTTTCGCATCCATCCCACCCTGGGCACCATCTACACTGCTCAGAGGCTGGACCACGAGGCCTGTGCTCAACATATTTTCACAGTCATTGTAAGACATGCTTTGGTCTTGATAAACTACTAGTGATATAAAAATCTATACCACAACTTTGCCAGTTATTTATGGTATAAATAGAAATTTGTGATAAAAGACTGCTGGAACACTCCAGTCTTGCCTGCATTATTGTGTTAGTAAAATTCTAGTTTTCTAGTTTGGTTAAACTTCATAATGCTGTCCTGAAATGAAGCAACTTCAATGACTGCAGACCAAATATCTGTGGTTGTTACATTTTTATTGAATATTGGTTTTGCTCAACCACTGAGAGTGATAGCAATAACAGGAACCATTTCAGAGCAGAAAATTTAGGAGGAGAAAAAAATGTCTTGTTTCTTGTGTATAACAGGAGGAGAGGCCATCTTTACGTTTTCTGTTTCATTGTATCGGAACTTAATATTTATCAATTAAACACAGCCAGTGCATGAGTACATGAGTATCTACTCCTCATCAAAGAACAGACACCCTTTTCTTTTATTTTCATTTATGCATCCAGTTGTAAACTAACACTATAAAAAACATGCAGTAAAGGAAAGGGAGAGAGTGAGAGTTCTGGTTTGAGTGATAGCGTTTGTTATATTTTAGCCAATTATGTCACCAGAGACACTTGACATTTTAATTTCATACTGACCACATAAAAGCTCTTCTCATTTTGGTTTGTTTTATTGTGTTCTCCACAGGTGAAGGATCAAGAGTTTCCATACAGAAAAAATCTGGCTCGTGTACTCGTGGAAGTGGAAGATATAAATGACCATGTACCCATTTTTACCAGTGCTCTGTATGAAGGCTCAGTCTATGAGTCAGCAGCAGTGGGATCAGCTGTAGTCCAGGTTACTGCCCTGGACAAAGACAAAGGCGAGAACGCAGAGCTACACTACTCAATTGAAGCAGGTAGGTACATCTGACAGCTAATTATTTGCTCCTTCATGTTTAAATGTTTTTTTTTATGTTACATGAAAAATATATCTTTAATATCGTTCCTAATTCTTCAACAGGGAACACTGGAAATGCATTCCATATGGAGCCAGTTTTGGGTATTATTACTGTTGCACGTGACTTGGACTTGTCCAGCATAGGTCACTATGTTCTCACTGTCAGAGTCACTGACAATGGCTCCCCTCCTCTGTCCACTACCACAGTAGTGCGTATTGCAGTCACTCTCTCTGATAATGCTGGTCCAAAATTCCCTCAGCCGGAGTACCAGACGGAGATCACAGAGAATTTAATGATTGGGACCTCTGTCACCACCATCAGTGCTGTCAGCCAGTCCACCCTCACTTATGACATCAAGCAGGGAAATACAGATCGCGTTTTTCAGATAAATCAATATAGTGGCGTGATTACTACACAAAAGATTCTAGACTATGAGACCACAGCATCTTACACCCTGATAGTCCAAGCTACTAATATGGCTGGCATGGCCTCAAATGCTACTCTAGTAATCCAGATAGTTGATGAGAATGACAACCCACCGGTGTTCCAGCAGCTTCACTATCATGGGAGCATCAGTGAGGTAGCACCAGTCAACAGTGTGGTCTTGAACTCAGATGACTCACCTCTCGTAATCAAGGCCAGTGATGCTGATCGCAACCAAAATGCGCTGTTGGTTTACCAGATTGTTGAGGACACTGCAAAAATGTTCTTCACAGTGGACTCAGGAACTGGCTCCATCAGAACAATTGCTAATTTAGACCATGAGACATTTGCCACATTCCGCTTCCATGTTCATGTGAGAGACAATGGCAGGCCACAGCTGACAGCAGACAGTCCAACTGAGGTCACGATACAAGTGATTGACACCAATGATTCGCCACCTCGCTTCACCCAGAATGCCTACGAAACAGTCCTGCTACTCCCCACCTATGTTGGAGTAGAAGCTTTGCAGGTTTCAGCCATAGACCCTGACAAAGATGTCCCTACAGAGCTCACATATTCACTGACTGATGGAGTACTAGAGCACTTTGCCATCAAACCTTCCAGTGGAATTCTTATCGTCAAAAACACAAACTTTTTTAAAGAGCGTTTCCGCTTCAGTGTCAAAGTTTCAGATGGGAAATTCTCCAGCACGGCTTTGGTGACTATAATTGTCAGAGAAGCCCTGGACTCTGGTCTCAGCTTCACCCATAGCATTTACTCTTCATCTATTGAAGAGAATGTATCAAATATCACCAAAGTTGCTGTGGTCAGTGCTGTGGGAAACCGTCTCAATGAACCATTAAAGTATACCTTGTTGAATGCTGGTACACGTTTCAGAATTCGTTCGACATCTGGTGTTATCCAAACCACGGGTATACCCTTTGACCGTGAAGAGCAAGAGTTCTATGAACTGGTTGTCGAGGCAAGAAGGGAGCACGACCGCTTGCACGTGGCCAGAGTTATGGTTAGAGTCCAAGTTGAGGACATAAACGATAATGCCCCTGTGTTTGTTGGACTTCCTTATTATGCAGCTGTTCAAGTAGAAGCTGAACCTGGATCACCCATTTTCAAGGTCATGGCAGTAGATGGTGACAAAGGGATTAACGGAGAGGTGTCTTACTATCTCAAGGATGACCATGGGCACTTTGAGATCAATCGGCAGACAGGTATACTTAGCCTCAAGAGATCTTTTGAGTCGGATTTGTCCAATGTGGAGTACCAAATTGCGATATATGCTAGAGATAGTGGTTATCCACCCCTCTCATCTACTATAGAGTTTCCCATTACTGTTGTCAACAAAGCCATGCCTGTCTATGACAAATCATTTTATTCTGTTTCTGTAAATGAGGATGTGGCTGTGCACACACCTATCCTTGGCATCAATGCTACTAGTCCTGAAGGTCAAAACATCATCTACACTATTGTTGATGGAGATCCATATCTTCAGTTTGACATTGGTTTTGATACTGGAGTGATAAGTGTTATCCACTCTTTGGACTATGAAGTAGCAGCATCTTACCACCTGACCATCAGAGCCACAGACTGTCTAACTGGTGCCCATGCTGAGGTTGATGTAGATGTCTATGTCCAGGATGTAAACGATAACTCACCTATCTTCCAGAAAATGTCCTATAGGGTAGTTTTGTCTGAAACAGCAATGATTGGAACTCCAGCACTTCAAGTTATTGCTATAGACAAAGACTCAGAGAAGAACAATGTTGTACGCTATCAGATCTTCTCAGATGTCCATAATAGTACAGATTACTTTCACATAGATAGTAGCAGTGGATTAATTTTGACAGCACGTATGCTAGACCATGAACTAGTCCAGAAGTATGACTTCATTGTCAGGGCCACTGATAATGGTTTCCCACCACTTAGTAGTGAAGTGTTGGTGACTGTCATGTTAAATGACATGAATGACAATCCTCCTGTTTTCAACCAGTTGCTCTATGAGGCATACGTGAATGAGTTAGCACCAAAGGGTCACTTTATAACCTGTGTCCAGGCCTCAGATGCTGACAGCTCAGATTTCGACAAATTGGAGTACAGTATTTTGTCAGGAAATGAAAAGATGAATTTTGTAATGGACAAAAAAACGGGGATCATCACATTGTCTAGCCACCGTAAGCAAAGAATGGAGTCTGCCTACAGCCTCAATGTTTCAGTGTCTGATGGAGTGTTTACTAGCACTGCACAGGTTCATGTTAAGGTGTTGGAGGCCAACCTGCATAATCCAGTGTTTGGACAGAATATGTACGAAGCAGAGTTAAGAGAGAATGCTGCTGTGGGAACCAAAGTTATACAGGTAAGTGCTACTAATTAATTCACATCATATGATATATAATTTTGCTGAAGAATATTGCTGAGTAACTGTAATTATATATATATATATATATGTGTGTGTGTGTGTATGTATTGACTAATACAGTTTGTTTGTTTGTTTGTTTGTTTTTTTTATTCAGGTGAAGGCAACAGATGCAGACCCTGGAATGTTTGGTCACATCACTTATTCATTTGTCAATGATATGGGCAAGGATCAATTTAGCATTGATGCAAGTGGTCAGATTTGCACTGTAGAAAAGTTTGATCGTGAAGATCCAGCTAATAAAGACATTGTTCTTACAGTTGCAGCCCAGGATTTAGGTGGCCGTGTCTCTTACTGTACAGTACAGGTTACTTTGTTAGACGATAATGATAATGCACCTTACTTTCGTGCCACAGAGTACCGTGCTTCAGTCAAGTCTGATGTAGCTAAAGGTTTTTTGGTGACACAGATTCAGGCTCATGATCCTGATGATGGCACTAACGCCAAAGTGACATACTCACTTTACAGTGAGGCACACGTCCCTGTGGTAGATATTTTGGAGATAGACCCAGACAATGGTTGGATGGTAACTAAAGGCAGTTTCAGTCACTTGAGGAACTCTGTGTTGTCTTTTTTTGTGAAGGCTGTGGATGGAGGAAATCCAGTCCGACATTCTCTAGTGTCTGTTTACATCCATGTTCTTTCCCCAGATGCCTTTATTCCTTCCTTCAGTCAACATCATTACTTATTTAGTGTCCCAGAGAACACCCCCATAGGGTCAGCCATAGGGAGGGTACACCTCAACAACCCTCTTGGATATACCTCCGTCTCTGCTACCTTTGCCCTGGTTAATGGAGAAAATGGTGAAAATAACCAAGATGGGGTGTTTGTGGTGGAAAAGGATACAGGTGTAATCAAACTTGATAAGGCCTTGGATCACGAGGTGATCAAAGGATACTACTTCAAGGTCACTGCCACAGCACAACAGGCTAAGCTGGATTCTGTGTCCTCTGTCGATACTGAAATCAAAGTATTGGATCTAAATGATAATAAACCAGCATTTCAGGCCAACTCCTACATTACCACCATTATGGAGGGAATATCAGTTGGAACCAGAATCATTCAAGTCCAAGCACTAGACGCAGACTCAGGGGCAAATGGCCAGGTAACATACAGACTCGGTACATTAATCCAGTCAGAAGGGGATTCAGACACGTTATTTGACACCTTTAGCATTGACAGCAACACAGGCTGGATCTCCACACGCAAGGACCTGGACCATGAGACCAATCCATCCTATACATTCACAGTGGTGGCGTCAGACCTTGGGGAGACCCTGCCTCTTTCCAGTACCTCCAGTGTGACAGTGGCAGTGTCAGACATTAATGACAACCCACCCAGGTTCATGGAGAACTACTGCTTCGGTTCAGTTCAGGAGAGTGACCCCCCAGGCGAGGTGGTAGCTCTGTTGATCACGAAAGATGATGACAGCTCTCCCGTTAACCGACAAGTCAGCTATCACATCACTGGTGAGTACTAATGTAAATATCTGACATTGCATTATAACCATCATCACCAGACAAGAACACTGATTTTGGACAATTCAGCATGTTTCATTATTTGTTTTATATATCCAGAGCCAATGTGTTAAGAGTTCTTGCTTTCCACCCTTCTCTGTGAATAGCAGCTTGGGAACAGTTAGTGCTGGGGAAAGATTGCTGTTATGACAAGTAAACAACAGGTAATTTACAAGTAAGGGTAGGCAAATAAAGCATTTGATTATGGTTAGGGAACCATCATGGTTTTGGGTAATTAAAAGGTGAGTGTTGATTGTTGATGGGACTCAAACCTCATGATTTGAATATAAGACACTGCACATGGTAATTCCCCGTCTAAACCCAACACCCTTAATTTCGTTTTAACTACACAGAACCTAATTTTTGATGTTTGATGCAAAATAATCTAATCTGCTTGATGCACATACATCAATGTTTGAAACAATATATATATCAATGGATAAAGGTGTAAGCAAAATAATCAAAAGAGGAAGGGAAACCAACATGAATGCGACTTTTAGAATGATATACTTTAGAAAACGCAATTGGACTTTTACTGAAGCTCTTGGGATTACCATGAACTGGGTGACAAACAATCTAAACAGACATATTAATAATATGGATAGTGATCAAAAAATTTGCTTTGCTAGAAATTGAGCATAGACTGTATTATTGCTTTTCCCTTTACTTGTCAGAACTTCTTTATGGGTTTTTGTATTTTCTAAATCCTAAACATATTTGTTATTTTCAAGTTTACGTGACAAATCCCCTCTCACACCCATTGCAGTGATATACACTGATCAGCCACATTAAAACCTCCTGCCTAATATTATGTAGGTCTCCATATGGCATCAAAAAAACCACCACTTGAAACTGTCAACACGCCACCCTGCAAAGTAGGCCCTCAATGGACCAGATTTGTTTTTCCAGCACATCCCATAAGTACTTGATCAGTTGAGATCTGGGAGATTTAGGGACCAGATGAAAACCTTGTGTCATGTTCCGTAAACCACGGATGAACAATGTTTTCAGTGTAGCAGGAAACATTATCCTGCCTGAAAGCACCTTAAAGAGGCCACTGCCATTAGATGCGCATGCACATGGCAAGCCACATGATGTGTAACAAAATAAGATTCATCAGACCACAGGGCTGTACTGCAAATCAAGTTTGAAATAGCATGGCTTTTTTATGTAAGTCAGCTCGACAAAAACTAAAACCCCCATCAGAGATAAATGGTATCACGAATGTGGTTATCAACTTTCTTTGTTAAGTCAGGCCTTCTGCTATAAACTCTGTGCATGTTCACATAAAAGGGGGCTTTTAATGCATCATCAGACTTCTGCAAAAAATTAAATGATCGTATACTGCTGCTTCAGTCAACAGGTTGATATAATGGACATCAATGAGAAATTTAAAACTGTATGACAGTAAAATGCGCTACTACTGCAAATGATGTAAGATAGGAATGCTGGTAAAAAAAACTGCCAAATGTGCATATTTGTTATACCCATCCATACAACCACTTAACTGACAGCTGCACATTAAAGCTGGTAAACTTTAAACTTCATATATTTAATAATGGTGGGACGCAATTTAAAAAAATATCTATAAATTTGATTGACAACTGAATCAATGAATAGAGATAAATATCGCCTCTGAGGACACGTAGGCAGATTGGATGAAGAAAAAAAAATTCCGCCTAACAAGCAAAAAAAAACAGAAACAAAAAAAACTTTCTGCCCAACACGCCAAGCAATGCGCCTTTGTCTTCCATCACTGTTTAAACTTTCTTGTGCACTGACATCAATCAATGCATCCTGTGCATCTTCTTTGGGGCTGGCAAACGAACCTTGAGTGCATTACTGCCACCTACCGGGACTGGAGTTGTGCATTTGTGCCATAAAGTAGGGAACTGAGAAAGGTGCGATTAAATGTTTTTTTTTAATTATTTTTTTATTTTTAAATGCGTTATTTTTTCTGTAATTACTTAATCAAATTTAAGTCATTAAAGTCCTAGCCCCAATATTTAAACATGATGTTGAAGTGCATTTGGTCTGACACTGTCCCATAACACAGGATACCATTTCAATCAATGACCAAATCAATATGAAATTAGCGTTATGGATTCAATATTCTATGTAATGCCAATAGAATAATCAATTTTCTAATCTTCAATCAGCTACTGTACCAGCAGTGTACATGGACTTGACAACAAATCAGGACCAAAACATAACATGCGATTTCTACATCACCTACTACATACATGTCAGGTTCCCATGGCAACGCGATGCATACAGCGTGGTGATACTGTGACTACATGGCTGGTTTCAGTGATATTAGTAACGCACAGCTGAACAGTTTTGCAGACTACAATGTAATTGAGTGATCACAAGTTATCGCAAACAATTAACTGAAGTTCTTGCTGCAAATGTGGACCAACCAGTTATTAAGGGGGCAATTACCTTTCCACAAGGGCGATAAAGGTTTTCAATAAACCTTGTATGGCAGCAGGTTGAGTTGTTGCAGATCGACCACTCCCCGCCGCAGTTGTGTTCACTCAGGTGATTAGCCAATTGTCAGCATCCACACACACATGCCACACTCACGCCCACCTGGAGAAAAGGTAGAGAGAGAAAGGAGGGGGAAGGGAGACACTGCCACTACACCTCATTTCCAAAGAGAAAGACTACACAATGAAATGGGATGGGAGTTTTGGAGTGGAGTCACATGAAGTGGACTTCATACTTATTTTAATAGCTGAAAAAGACTTTCAACTTAATTTTGAAAACTAGTCACTTGTAACTTCATGTGGCTCATGAAATGACCTGATAGCCTTCCCATTAAACCGTAAAAAGTGTGCAGCCAATCAACTCTTCAATTTTCTAACAAAATCAATCTATCAGTTTTTTTTTCTTTCTTTCTTTCTTTTTTTTTTTTTTAAATAGTGACGAAAAGGTGATAATTCAGACTCTCAGAAAGACAACAGGTAAACGTCAGAATAATTAGATTCACGTATAAAGATTTTACTCTGGTCAACAACTAACCAGAGGCAATATGCAAATTGTTCCTACCAGAATTTAAAAAATATTATATCCGTAGCCATAACCATAATTACCACACCTAGACAATCAGTTTATTTTTTGATGTCTTCAAGTTTATTTAAAAAGTAATATTTAAATTTACAAAGCTGACTATTGCACTGTTAAAATGTTTTTTTTTAAAAATGTACTTAAATTTGGTGGTGGCTGCACAATGACTTATTTTAGCTGCAAACATGAAGTTTAAAACTTGGACCGCACTTACAACTGATTTTTCCTCCACTTTTGTTGAATAAATAATGTTTGGGCACAGCTTAATATTGATAAAGATATCTCCTTTACTAATCCATTATCTTGTTTTTCCTGTCCGGCTGTATGTTGTCCAGGTGGGAACTATCGTGGCGTCTTTGCACTCGGTCTGGTTCAGGGTGAATGGAAGATGTATGTGAAAGGACAGCTGGACAGGGAGGAACGCAACCTCTACATCATCAACATTACTGCTAGCGATGGACTCTTTGTTTCCCAGGCAATGGTAGAGGTGACAGTAATGGACACCAATGACAACAGTCCTATTTGTGACCAGGTAAGTAAAGATGTTGTGTGTTGCTCTTTGTAAAGGACCGAGACAAACAGTGAAGACAGTTGCAAATTACACATTTACAACAGATATACCACATTGGTCTACCACATTAATTTGATTTAACTAACTGTAAAAGCAGCCATTGCTAGAGTCCGCAATTTTTTTTATAGAGTTACTGTTTCTTTGCTGTGTATGTGTGTATTTATGTTTGCAGGCTGTGTACACTGCTTACGTCCCAGAGGACCTCCCAGTCAACAGTGTGCTGCTGAGGATTGGAGCTACAGATGCAGATGTAGGCATCAGTGCTTGGATCCAGTATTCCCTACATGGTCCTGGATCCCAGGACTTCAGCATGGATCCAGACACTGGTATGAACAGAGTGATTCTTTCAAAACACTTCCATCTAGCTTTATCACTTGCATAAATTGCAACTTGAATCAATCCAGTTTGATGTGAAATGCAGCAGGAAAATGGGGCTGGGTCTCTAGCCTGTCATGTTGCTTTTTACACATTTAGGCACACAGTTATGTCTACAGATACTTTAAAGCTTGTGTGACAAATTTTGTTAGACTTGTTTCTTGTAATGTTTCACATTTTGTGCTTATCCTGTCCAGGTGAGATCAAGTCATCTGTCATTCTGGACCGTGAGGTGACACACAATTACAGACTGGTTGCCCAGGCAACTGATGGTGGTGGACTGTGGTGCCGCGCTGAGGTGCAGCTGGCAGTGACTGATGTGAATGACAACCCGCCCATTTTCACCCTGTCACAGTATACCACCAGTGTCTATGAAGACACAGTCACCAAAGCCCTGCTTACCCGGATCCAGGCCATAGACCCTGATGAAGGTGATACAATTACTGTTGCTGCGAGTATTATCACCATTTCCATTTGACGTTACTACTTTCGCGACCACAACTACTGCTTTAAAAGCTAATCTTCCCTTCATACATAAAATGCAAAGTGCATTTTTTTCTTACAACAATCGCTAAATAAAAGCGTTATAATTCAAAAGCAGCTAAAATGTAAGTCAAAATCAATACAAAGACTCCAGGGATGCACATTTTGAACAACTTTCTCAACAATGTAAAGCTACAATATCGATCAATAATGTAGTACTGTAGTACCTGGAACAATCAGGTACTACAGCAAATGTACAATACATTTTCTACATGGTGTCTGTTTTTGACGTTGTCAGTTAATGTATTTTTAATGTTACATAATTCATGCTAGTTAAGATTCATCAATCATTAGCATTCCTTAAAGACAAAAACATTAGGTAAAGAGAGTCAGTGACAGTTAAAATGCAATATTGACACGTCCCACGTGTGATGCTAATGACTACACAGTTACTCCTGAATGGTCATCATTGTGTTTACTATATCTTTCATATGAAAAGTGATGGAAGTAGTGGTGTGACTAAGCAGAGTAAAAACACTAGACATGATGTAAATGTCAGATTGTCCATTTCAAAAAATTACATTTCTAAGAAGCAGCCTTCATTTTAAGACATGATGATCTGGCAAGCAGTGTATGTTCTGAGGGTTTCAAACCTCTAATGTGTACTTGATGCTCGCTTGTCTTTTTGCTCTGCAGCAGGTCCAGGTCGTATGGTGGTTTACTCCCTGGCTGACTCTGCGGGAGGTTTTTTCTCCATTGACAAGGCCTCAGGCATTGTGGCCCTGGAACGCATTCTTGACCGTGAAGTCCAGTCGGCTTATCAGTTAACAGTCTGTGCGTCTGATCAGGGATCACCGCTGCCCTTCTACTCATTGGTCAATGTCACAATCACTGTGCTGGACATCAATGACAATCCCCCTGTGTTTGAACGGCGTGATCAGCTGGCGACAGTACCTGAGGATGTGGGAGTTGGAACTGAGGTTCTGAGAGTTTACGCTGCCAGTAAAGACATTGGGACCAATGCTGAGATCACTTACAGTATCCGATCAGGAAACGAGCACGGAAAGTTTCACATCCACCCACTGACAGGTGAGTGATGTCTCTGCACAGGTCATCCTATGAATTCCTTTTTTTAGATTGCTTCTTTGCAAATTTATTAGAAATTAAATATAAAGATCTTTAATTAGAACCTTAAATTAGTACATTGTAGAAGCCTCTTTGGCAGCAGTTACAGCTTCACCTGTAGATGCTGTGGATGCCAAACACAAACATACACACGGACAAAATTGTTGGTACCCCTCGGTTCATGAAAGAAAAACCCGCAACGCTCACAGAAATAGCTTGAATCTGACAAAAGTAATAATAAATAAAAATTCTATGAAATTTAGCCAATGAAATTCCACTATGTGCAACAACCATTACCACCTCAACCTTGTGTATATAGTCTGCTTTAAAAAAAAAAAAAAAAAAAAAACAACATCTGTATATTTCTGTTTTCTGTTTTCTGTTATTCTGTTTTCTGTTTCTGTTTCTTTCCTACATTTTGCACTGGGTGTTTCCAATTATTCTTGCACTGACTGTACACTTTTTTTGGAGCTGTTGTAACAGTGAACTTTCCCCACTGTGGGATCAATAAAGTTATCTTTATCTTTATCTTGAAAATCAGACATTGCTTCTGAACAACAGAATTATTTTCAAAAATAAACTCATGAAACAGGCCTGGACAAAAATGATGGTTACCCTAGAAAAGACTGAAAATAATGTGACCATAGGGACATGTTCAATCAAGGTGTGTCCTCAAATTAGCATCACAGGTGTCTACAAACTTGTAATCAGTCAGTCGGCCTATTTATAGGGTTGCAAGTAGTCACTGTGCTGTTTGGTGACATGGTGTGTACCACACTAAACATGGACCAGAGGAAACGAAGGAGAGAGTTGTCTCAGGAGATTATAAAGAAAATTATAGACAAGCATGTTGGGCCAACAACTGGGCCAACAACATCTCCTACCAGGTGGGGAAGGCACAACAGAGACTTCCTCAGAAACCTAAAGCAGGCTCAACTCCCTCGACCCCTATTGGTGAACTTTTACAGAAGCACCATTGAGAGTCTCCTGACTTACTGCTGCACCACGCCGGTTCACCAGCTGCCCTGCAGAGGGCAGGAGGATCCTGCAGCGGGTGGTGAGAAAGTTATCAGGACCACACTACCTCTACTGGAAGACATTTACACCGGCCGACTTCAGAAGAAGGCCACATTCATCGCAAAGGACCCCACTCACCCCGGACACCCCTTGTTCTCCCCCCTACCCTTTGGTAAAAGATATCAGACAATAAAGACCAAAACAAACCATCTCAAGCACAGCTTCTACCCGCAGGCTGGGTTTCAGTCGCAGGTCATGGGTCTTGAAACAGGATAATGACCCAAAACACACAGTTAAAAACACCCAAGAATGGCTAAGAGGAAACCATTGGACTGCTCTGAAGTGACCTTCTATGAGCCCTGATCTAAATCCTATTGAACATCTGTGGAAGGAGCTGAAACATGCCATCTGGAGAAGGCACCCTTCAAACTTGAGACAACTGGAGCAGTCTGCTCATGAGGAGTGGGCCAGAACACCTGCTGAGAGGTGCACAAGTCTCACTGAAAGTTACAGAAATGGTTTGATTGCAGTGATTGCTTCAAAAGGTTGTGCAACAAAATATTAAGTTAAGGGTACCATTATGTTTGTCCAGGCCTGTTTCATGAGTTTATTTTTTTAAATAATTCTGTTAAACCACGGTTCAAAAGCAATGTCTGATTTTCTATGGATAATTTTTAATTTTCAAATTCAAGTTATTTCTGTGACCATTGTGGGTTTTTCTGTCATTAACCGAGGGGTACCAACAATTTTGTCCACGTGTGTATATTTAGAAAGCTCTTGTCAGGGTATATAAATGTATTGCTATGCAGGTGGTTGCCTAAGAACACCTAACTTCCTTCTGTTGATTTCAGGAACACTCTTGTATGCACCCAACACTGCTTTACTTACATCAACTAATCCGATTCTGCAATTGGCTGGAACTGGAGCTGGGGCACACCAACAGTCCATTTTTCTAAGATAGATATAGTTTGTGAGCGTTATGGCTAACCGCCATTGAGACCCTTACCTCAACCTCATGACCATGTCATGAGATCATGACAATTACTTTTTTTCCCGTTGATATCCATGGGTCTTGTCTTTTAGTTTTTTCCTCTTGTTCTCTTCTACTATGTTATCTCTCTTTCTCTATCTGCTTTTTCCTTTTCTTGTCTTGCCTCTTGCCACATATCACTAAAATCAAGAAAAATGTCACCAACAAATGACAACTTTACAATTGCTTCCTGCTCTGCAATCATGGCTAAGTTATCCATCTCAAGCTTTTAAAATTGTGTAAAGGTCATATTTATCAAATCCTCACATAGACTGTTACAAATCAAAAGGCACTTTGTCAAGATATCCCCAATATGTTTATTGGCTTCTCAATGTGTCTCTCCAAATCCTCATCTGAACTCTTAGATTTCAGAAGGCAATATGTGGGTCTCAGCCACAAAAAGTTTCAAACTCGCACACTCTTCCTAAGTTTCAAAAGACCCAGCACCAAAACATTGCAAATTAAAGCATTATGGTAGGTTAGAGAGTGTGCAGAAACTTTTCTGTGTTTGTCCCTGTCCTTTGCACTTGTCTCATGAAATAAATGTGTTTTTTTTTATTGTTCTCAGCCACAAGCTAATTGTTTCTACTGATGAAATTAATCTGAATGTCTTACAAAAACAATAATAAAAATAAATAAATAAATAAAATTATATATATATATATTTTAAAGGCTCAGACAGTTTGAAACATGTCTGAACACTCATTTTTAACAAATTTACTCAGATAGAAATGGTCCACTTTCTTATGAATATTTGATCTGATGCATTAAGTGACTAGTGTGTATTTACAGCAACAGGATTGTGTGCTATATGTAGGGCTGAGTCACAACATGCTTCAATGTATGCTCATGAGCATGAAGGAACATCGAAGGTGGTAGGAGTTGGTAGGATGTATTCAGTGTTGGTTTAGCTTTGCACATGACATTTGTTGACAATTGTAAAACTCTAAATGTTCTCCTCACCTTTAATTCCCTCATTGAGACAACTGAAGCAAGATCTTATCAATATTTTAAAATTTTGCTCTTAACAAACTTAACTCTGGTACCGCTCTGTTCTTACCTTCCTCAGGTGCCATTTTAGTTGCCCTGCCTCTGGACTATGAAACCTGCAGGGACTACTTTCTGACAGTGGAGGCTCGCGATGGCGGCACACCACCTCTGAGTGCCATTACCACAGTCAACATAAACCTAACAGATGTCAACGACAACGTACCCATGTTTAGCCGTGACCTCTACTCTGCAGTGGTGTCAGAGGATGCCACTATAGGAGAGTCTGTAGTCCAGGTAGGTTCAGAGAATGAGTGAGGTTCTCACTGCCTTCATGTCTGAAGCCTGAAGTTGGAAATGATCCAGAATTGTTAATTGGGTGATGAGATAACATAGGGATGTCAGTCATTTAAACAATGTGATTTTTTTCATATGTCACAACCCAGCAAATAGGTTGTGGCAAAAGAGGGGAGACGACACAGGTGATGTCAGATTTTAACATAAAGTTTTATTAATTGGTTGAATTAATTTATTTGATGTGAGGTGTGTTTGTCAGTGATATCAGTGGTGTAGGTGCAGATGTCTGGATGCCTGGGTGTGATGTGGTGCAAGGTGTTGTCAGGTGTGAGAACCAAACCAAAAGAACACAAACCGCAAGTCTGGGGTATGAGGAGGAGAGAGAGAACAAGCTAAGGGGTTGGCCCTTTTGTAGCCTGGGGCGCTGCCCAAGCGTGCCACGTAGTTAAGACCGCCCACTCCAGCAGTCCAGGGACCTGAGGAAGCAATGCACAGTCCAGAAAACTAATGTGTTCCACCAATATAGTAGGGGGCCGTCACACATATTTTTGCTGAATTCGTGACTTTCTCTGTAGCTCCAATATCATGTAAAAATATCCGTGATTCCTGTTCAGTTTGCCTTAATTGTGCCCTGAGAGTAGATATTACTGTTTTTAGTAGACCTCTTCTTTAGGCCCACAAATGTTTTACAAGATATATCAAAATCTACTGCTGACTGAGCAAATTTCTGCTCCCAAGAAGATAAACCCTAACACTCCAAGAGGTTTTCATCAATAGCACAGGGCAACTTCACACACAAGATATCCAAAATCTGTAGCAAAGGTCACTGTTAATCCATTTTAATAGCTTTTCATCTTTATGTCTTGCGAGACAGCTAACTCACTGCAAGGCGGTGCAGTTGGTAGCACTGTTGCCTCGCAGTCCCGATGGGGGCACCGGAATCTTTCTGCGTGGAGTTTGCATGTTCTCCCCGTGCAGCGTGGGTTCTCTCCGGGTTCTCCGGCTTCCTCCCACACAGTCCAAAAACATGTTGAGGTTAATTGGTAATTCTAAATTGTCCGTAGGTGTAAATGTGAGTGTGCATGGTTGTCTCTCTGCCCTGCAATAGACTGGCGACCTGTCCAGGGTGTCCCCTGCTGTCGCCCTAAGTCAGCTGGGATAGGCTCCAGCCCCCCCGCGACCCTAGTGAGGATTAAGCGGTGTGTAGATAATGAATGAATGGAAGGAGACAGCTAACTCTCTTTATATCTATATCTCTCTTTCTATGTTACTTTGCTTTTTTACTTTGTCAAGAGATATGACAATAGTCGTGTCTTTAGTTACATGACCCTGTTCCATAGCAGCCTGGGAATACGCGAGAAGGCTTCAAAGGGAATGTGTTTGTTTTGGTAAAGAATCAGTATCTACTTATGCTTTTCTTAGTCGTGCAAGAATTTTATGCCTTTCATAAGTGCTACCTTCTTAGAGTCTGTGTGATGCCATCATACCTAACCTATTTGTAGGCAATTATTGATTTTTAAATGTTCCCTAATATTTTTATTTAGTGAGTTTCACAGACAGAAAAAGCGGACCCAAGCCAGGCACTTCAAAAGTTTTATCAAAATCACATTTTTATGAGTGCTTGTGTTTATTTCTGGATAGATTTCTGTAAAAAGCTGTTATGAAAAAATAACTTGTTGAATAAATATTAGAGTATTGCATCTTTATCACCTCACCTTTTTCAAATCAAAACAGTTGGATCCACTTTGGTACAGCAACAATTATGGGGCTATTATTGTAGCAAAACTATTTGTCAATGTGTATGGAGAGTTGTGTGTCTGTATCTCAATCTGTGTGTCTGTAGTGAGATTTGTCATTAGGTAAAAAGATTTGTAAAAGATTTGTCGATGAGTAAAAAGAAATGTCAGTGCATACAAAGATGTGTAAATGTGTACAAAGATGTTAATAGATGACAAATATTTGGAATATTTGGAAATACAGAAAAATCACCAGTTACAAGTCAAGCATGACTTTTGCTACACTTCTGTCGTGAGAGATTTGTGTCTGTAGCTTACTGGTTTCTGTGTCCTGAGCTCAGGCTCACAGGCTTGTTCATTCTGGCTGCGTACCACTCTGCTGCTCTTTATCTCAGTAGTTGCTGCCTGAAAGCCATCATGAAAGTTTTTCCTCAGCGACCCACAAAATCAGCAAATTAAACTTGTTCACATGTAACAGACAGCGTCACGTGCCCTCAAAGAATCTGGGGCATAGCACCACCTGATGGCTTGCAACAAACTGACAAAGAGCAAATGAAACAACCCACTTCCAAACAGTACAGATTATTGTTAGCAATAATTATAGGGAGTGGAGTACTGACCAGAATCAAATACAACAGGCTGATGCACAGTAAGGGAAACAATGGAAACAGGGACATTACTATACATGGTATGTGCATGTACGTGTAACCCAGAAAAACAGCATGAAGTGCAAAGCACGCTACAATACCAAAATGCTACAAATGGTCCTAAAACCATAAAAATCTATGTGTTTTGACAGACTGGCAAAAGAGACATGCAGAACTGACATGCTTATATTTGTACAGCCATTTTGGAGTAAGCAATATATGGACAAAATATTTCATATAACTTGCATTTGTAAAGCAGGCCTTTATTAAACTTTAGGAAAGGGAAAGAACAGTTTAAAACCTCCAATTTTCATGTCACATGCAAATTAAGAGATACAATTACAGTGCCATTGTGTAATGTGTGTTTGCAGCTTCAAGCAGAGGATGTGGACAGTCAGCAGAATGGAGCCATCCTCTACTCTATTGTCAGTGGAGACAGACACAACCAGTTCTTCATTGACCCACTCAGTGGGGTCATCAAAGTCAACAAGCAACTGGACCGTGAGACAGTAAGGACACACATTCATATTCACAAACACTCACCTAAAAACACACCCACTCAGCCCTCAATGGTTTGCCGAGACATATTGCAAGTATGTAAGGTTTACACAGCACCACTATTTCACAGTCACACTTCATGTTCTCAGCCCAGTCAGCCAAGCCAGTCGGCACCCACCCTGAGTATGTTTCTTTTGGAAGTTTCTTCCTTTTTGAAGGGAGTTTTTCCTCCTGACTGTCACCAAGTGCTGAAGGGGGAATAATATACATATATATAGATATATATTTTTTTATTTTATTTTATTTTTTTTCCGTCATATAATGCTGTAAGGTCTTGATCTTCTTGGTGTGAAAGTTAATGCGATTTGATGCTATATAAATAAGATTAAATGAGGGTCGAACTTGCCTCTTCCTGTTCCATGCACACTCACACACACTCAGTGGAACAAGTGTCAGTTAGATGATGCGCACATCATTGCCTATATAAAAAATGTGCAGCAAGTCCAGCTCAAAAAGTTCCTAAAGTTAACTTTACAGTGCAGTACTCCACCACCACCATCTGCCATCTGCTGCTTTTTTTTTCTGCGTTTTTATTACACAGTCGAGGAGGACGTTTTTTTTTTTGTTGTTTTTTTTTACGTCTGTCAATAAATATCATGACACCAAGGTGAACCTTCAGCAACGGTCCTGTTTGTACAGGGGACTGCTGGGAAATGTTGGCATCATATCCTTTTTGCAGTACACTGTTAATACAGCAAGCTTTCACATCTGACAGGTACCACACTAGAGTATGCCTGGACCCACTCACTATTCTAAGCAGACCGGAGACAGATCGTGGTACAGAGTGGCAAGCGTGGAGGTACCACACGCTGATAAGCTCAATTATTGACGAGTGAAAATTTACCAGGAAGATCAGACTTGTGAAATTGACATGACATAATCAGATTAAGGTTTAAGTAATTTAAGGTTGAAGTCTTTTGTTGAACTTCAAAAACCCTCAGAAATATTATATTGTGCAATCAAATAATTTATGTTGGCATAAATGTTACAATGTAAATTATACTTGCTGGTAGAGTACAAACACTTGTTAGCAGACTGCACATTAGCTAGATTATTGCCAAATTTTCGCTAGTCCCCTTTGCAAGTTTTTTTTACATTGTTCATGAATTTACTTAAGGCTGATACATTTGTGGGGACAGTTGTAACATGCAGATGCAATGTTCAGCAGTGGCCTTTTGTTTTGTACATTACCAGTAAGAGTAAAGAAATGATAAGAGAATTGTTAGCCATGTAGCTTAATGAATATGTATATTTTATCAGCTAAGACAAATCAGAATCCAGCTCTATTGTTACAGAACTGACCACAACATTATATGATGATATTTTTGGGACCCTGCAGAAAGTTAAGTTGTTGCAACCTTAAATACTGCAGGGTCTGAGCTCTCATGGTTGCTCATCATGATTGTTAGAAAGAAGTTATGGAATTTATTCCACACAAATAGCAATTAATCACACCTGAACAAAAACATAAACACAAAGCGATTCTGAGCATGGTCTCTTTCATTTGCTGCACAAAAAAGACAGAAAGCTCTTTCCTGCATCCCCCCTGCCTTCTCACTCCTCTGAGCTGTTTTTACACCCTTTATCCTCATCTTCTGCTTCTTTTTCATCTCCTTCTCCTCCATAGTGCTTGAAAACTTCAGAAATGTTCATATTCGTATCATAAAGTATTCATGAGTGCAGTTGATGAGCCGTCTGAGCGTGCTCAGAAAGAGAGTGCAGAGGCGTGTGAGGGATCAAAGCTTTTGGATGATGAAAGTGTGTTTTGGGTTATCACACCAGCACCAGCTTTTTCTGTATGTCTATGTGTGTGCGCACATATGTGTGTGTATGTGTGCGTGCGTGTCAATGTATGTCCTAGTGTATGCGCATGCATGTTTGTCTGTGTTTCCATCTGTGTGTGTGCATGCAAAGCTGATATGTCTGTCCATGTGTCTCAGGTATGTGTATGTGTATTGTATTTACATATGCTTACTCCTCTCATTTACATACAGGTTCTTTTATATTCTCTCACCCCCTTCCTCTGTGCTAAGCAGGTCACAGTTGTTTACTACTGAGATCTATTTTTTCCATATGCATCATGCAGCTGAATATTGTTTTGTTGCTACTTTTGCATTTTTCTTCAGTGTGCTTCATTAGGTGTTTATTATAATGCTAAATAGGGAAAGAGAGAAATTTCCTGCAGAGGGGTTATGGAAGACTGAGCATGCCAGGGGAATGAAGAGTCTGTGTGTGTGTGTGTGTGTGTGTGTGTGTGTTTCTCATACAGTGACACCTTCCCAACCCAAATCAGTATGCACAGTAAGCACAAATTACAGTCACTTGCTTGTAACTATGGCAACCTGGCTGGCATAACTACTCCAGTAGTAGCACACTACTTCTTTATTTTTGGTCAAGTGTGAATGGTCTAAGGGCTATTTCCACATTCATGTGGAATGCTGCTTTGAAGGTGAAGACTGCACGTGCCGTGGTTCTATTTATACTTCAAAATTAGCACAAAAATATAAAAAAATTATTAAGGTCTCTAATTAACCATTAAAAAACGAGTTTTTTAATCGTTTTCCTGGTAGATGCACTGCAGGCATACATTACAGAAGCATGAATCTGCCATAACATAATGTCTTACCATTGGCCAAAAATGATTTTTTTCTTAAAAATTAAAATTTGGTATGGGGCATAATTCATTTTGGAGTTAATTGTACATTTCCCTAGGTTGACCTGAGGTATGCACTTGAGGATCTGGAGCATTTGAGGATGTATTAATATGAGATTAAATAAATATGCACTCTTTGGATTCTGTCACACTGGCTAAAAATTGATCACAAATGGTACACATGTTTCTTTTATTCTGTTGTCCAGATAAGGCTGTCAGATGACTTAACCTACATACTAGGATACCCTAGCTTGGCCTTAGTCAGATTTGCATTAACAGACCTATCTCCGTAGACCATACTCCAGTGCTAATACAGCCATGGTAGTTGCTTGTCTGTGGGATGAAGTGTTGATGAGAATGTTACTTTTAAAGCTGCATCAAATTTTATCAGTAACAACCTGAATCTGTTATTGGCAATTATCTTTTTTTGGACCGTGACAGGGTGCAACTCTGCACTGATTTCCAAAATGTTTGTTTGAAATTATTCAATCATTGTCACTGCATAGATATGTTGATATCTACCACCGTTGCAAGCAGGCTACTGGCACACTTCAGTAAATAAAAAGAGATTTATATTCAGTGGGCACTATGGACAATTTTTTTCCCCCAATTTCTGAGTCACAGAGCAACCAGCATGTTATTGTGAAATACATGTAAAATCATCCATCCAGCCATTATCTATCCACTGCTTAGTCCTCACTAGGGTCGCAGGGGGCTGGAGCCTATCCCAGCCAACTCAGGACCAAGGCAGTGAACTCCCTGAACAGGTCGCCAGTCTATCGAAGGGCTACACAGAGAGACAAACAAGCACACTCACATTCACACCTACGGACAATTTAGAATCACCAATTAATCTCAGCATGTTTTTGGACTGTGTGAGGAAGCCGGAGAACCCGGTGGAAACCCACACTGCACAGGGACAACATGCAAATTCCACACAGAAAGATCCCAGGCGTTTTAACGGGGACATGAACCAGGGCTGTAAAATCATACTCAATAATATAATTTTTATATTATTTTGTTTTGTTAGCAAGTATTATCATATCAAATGAATAAAGTTCTACATGGCCTTGGCTAAATAACAAAACCAAAACTAAACTAAACTAGGGGATTCTAGAGGGATTCTTGTACAATAGAATATTAGCAACATTACAGGTGAACTTTTTAGTTTGATCTTAGGATAAACTGGTTCATTAATTAGAATAACCTGTAAGGCTAAGTTTTTAAACTTGTTACCATGTTCATACGGTGTGTTTTATGTGTTTAAAGAGATGTCGTGAGCCAAATAAGTAGTTGATGCAATGACTGAGCATCTTCATCTTGAAGCTTTAAGAGGGTGGGTGAAGCGAGAGGTGAAGACTTTATAGATTGTACATTCTAAAAGAAACAAGGATGTAGAGCTACTTATAAGTCATTTTAGGGCAGGAAGGGACTCCTTAAATGGCAAAAAAACCTCAATGTACAGTTGTGTTCAAAACAATAGCAGTACAACATGAGTAACCAGATCAGCCACTGTTTTTGGTAGAAATTATATTATTACATGGCAAATAAGTTACCAGTAAGTGGAGAGAAACCAACAGACCCAACATTTGTGATATGCATGCTCCTGAGTCTGTGCAATGGAATAATTATTGAAAGGGGTGTCTTCAAAATAATAGCAGTGTGGAGGTCAATCAGTCAGGTCATTCATTATGTGGAGAAACAGGTGTCATTCAGGTGGCCCTTATTTAAGGATGAAGCCAGCACATGCTGTACATGCAATTCTCTTGGAAAACCTGAGGAAGATGGGTCGTTCCAGACACTGCTCAGAAGAACAGCGTGCTTTAATTAAAATGTTGATTGGAGAGGGGAAAACATATAAAGACGTGCAGAAAATGATAGGCTGCTCAGCTAAAATGATAACCAATGTTTTGAAATGGAAAGCAAAACCAGAGACATGGAAGAAAATGGAAGACTACCATTTGAATGGATCAAACAATAGCTGGAATGGCCAAGACTCAATGATCAGCTCCAGGAAGATCAAAGATGGTCTGAAGTTACCTGTGAGTACTGTGACAATTAAAAGACACTTGTGAGAGGCTAATCTATTGGCAAGAGGCCCCCACAAAGTCCCACTGTAAAAAAAAAAGACAGGTGCTGAAGAGGATACAATTTGCCAAAGAACATATCAACTGGCCTAAAGAGAAATGAAGAAACATTTTGTGGACTGATGGAAGTAAGATTGAATTCAAGCCACAGTACACTGTGAAGCATGGTGGTGCAAGCATCATGATATGGGACTGTTTCTCTTAGTATGGTGTCGGGCTTATTTATCGCATACCAGGGATCATGGATCAATTTGCCTATATCAAAATACTGGAAGAGGTCATGCTGCCTTATGCTGAAGAAGAAATGCCCTTGAAATGGGTGTTTCAACAAGACAACAACCCCAAACACACCAGTAAGCGAGCAGCATCTGGGTTCCAGACCAACAAAATAAAGGTTATGGAGTGGCCAGTCCAATCCCTGGACCTTAATCCAATGTTTTGATGTAAAATATAATGTGCAGTGTTCCCAATGAATGAAAATAAAAATATTACATGGATTTTGAGCTTTACTCACATTTTTAAAAAACACTGCGATTATGTTGAACACAACTGTATTTCTTTGACCCACAGACATGAATTGTTAGGGATTTCACTTACTGGCCAGAAAACAACTGATATAATGTTATCATCAATGTTAAAAATGGTGAACTATCAAAGAATAAACTTAAATTATGCTTAAATAAGGTGTCTGTTTGGAAGAAAAAAATACATTTTAAACAGAATTTTAAAGGCAGACTGGGCTGTTATTAAGTCTGTGTTTTTGGCTGTGTTCAATTGGTCAGGATCCACAGTCAGATAAAACCATCACTGCATTTTACTCAAGCTAAATCTAAAAGTAAAACTATGAAATATCACATTTTTGAACACCTTCATTCTCCTTTTGGAATAATTCTTTCAGATTTTAATACTGGCAACCTCAGAACAATGCTTTACATTTTTCTCCATAAGCAAAGCTCTTAGAACAATAATGAGGCAGCTGTGGCTCAGAGCAGGTTGTCCTCTAATCGCAAGGTTGGTGGGTCGATCCCCTGCCAAAGCCAAAGTGCAGGCAAGACACTGAACCTGAGTTGACTCCCAATGGCAGACAGGCCAACTCTGCTTTGATCATAACTTGACGAGGTCTCATCCCCGACAAAATATTCATAATTTGGTGCTGTTTATCCTCATGGTCTTAGTATTTTTGATTGTGTCTGTCCTTCTAGGTTCCCAGCTACACATTGGCCATCAGAGCTCTGGACGGTGGAATCCCACCCATGTCCTCCACCGTAATGGCCAACATAGACATCTCTGACATCAATGATAACCCACCCACCTTCTCCCCAGCCAATCTCACTACTGTTATTCAGGTAAACTTGATGACTGACATGGTATTCAGTTAAACACAAAGGTAAGAATGGGATATGTTGTGTATATATGTCTTCAGATAATGCGTGATAACACAGACAAAACGCTTTTTTATCTGGTTACAGTAACTTTATATTGTGTTGTTACCTATTAGATAACGGTTTAAATAGTGCTCAAAAAATGCAAAATAGTGATCCTGAAGCTAATTAAAACTTCAATCATCTAAAACAGCACTCTTTAAAGACTTCCAAGAATTTTCTTTAGGATTAATAAAGTTTTCTCTTTTTATCTTATCTTAAATACAAAGCTACCTCTCCTTGCATCCTAATGTTTCTCTGTCAGGCTGCAGTGATGGGATAGTAACACAAACTGGACTGAGCAAAAATTAACATTGGAGTGATTGGTTGGAATTGCAGTAACTCACCAATCTTGCTATCAGCATTTCCTGGGCAACGTGATTAAAATATATTTCTCAGTAGCCTTTATCAATAACTCAAACCATTTTGATTTGATTTCAATCACACCTTTCTGAATGAAAGTCATTTAAAAACTTTAGGCAAGATCTGACTTTTAGTTTTTGGTTAGATCTAAAAATAAAATATGACTAGACTGTCTTAAATTTGAATAGGCCAAAAGGATGGTGGTTCAAGTCATATCTTCAGGACAGGATCCATTTTGTTTCATCTGGCAGGTCTGCATTTGAATGGATCAACATGATCTGGATTTTGTCAAGGCTTAATCTTTAGTCATCTTCTATTCCACATTTACAGGCCTCTACAAGACCGCAGTATACAAAACAAGAACATTTCAACTAGATTTAGATCCATATTCAATACTGTTCACTGTCTTTTACTGAACATTGAATATTCCAAGTGAATGATTATCTTTCCCTCTTTTCACTAGGAAAACAAACCAATTGGCACCAGCATCCTGCAGTTTTCAGTCATCGATCAAGACTCCTCCCACAACGGCCCGCCGTTTGACTTCCATATCCTTTCGGGAAACGAAGGCGGGGAGTTTGTGCTAGAGAAAGATGGAACACTAGTGGCCAATCAAGTGTTCAGACGGGACCTGGCAACTGAATATGTTGTTCAGATACAGGTAGAGTCAAACAGCTGCTTAACCTCACACCTGCAGGGATGGCAGTGGTCCAGGTGGTCGAGTTGGTTGTCAACAAATTGCAAGGTTGGGGTTCAGTTCACACCCTACCACATGAGAAAGTTGACAGTTCACATAAAACTCCCCCCAAAAATAATTGGTGATTAAAATATATTTATTAAAGTGGGAGAAGTCGAAATGTCAGTGCTGGGTGCTTCGGTAACCTACTGGTTAGGAGCAATACTGTGTTGAACTGTCATAGCTCTCTCTTTCTCCTCTTTCTCCCCACGTCCTGTTAGCATCTCTAATACTGTGTAAAGGGCAAAAATGCCAAAAGTAATCTTTGAAATGATGGACTGAAAATTAACGTATGAGCAATGAATGAAATATTTCCTCTCGTGTTTTTTGGGGGGATATGATACCGTTACTGAATGTAACTCAGTACTAGCTACCTCAAGGAATGCTGTAGTTTGCTGTCACTAACCTTGTTGATAACGTCAATAAAGTGTAGACTTGACACAAAACAAAATGATACAAAAGCCCATTTTCCTGTCTTCTTCCCTTCATCTCATTTTCTTGGTTTTCTTTATACATCTGTTTGTTTATTGTTTTCTTGTGATTTTTGTTCTCTGTTCTTCTCTAGGTTACAGATTCGGGGAAGCCTCGTATGTCTTCCTCCTCCGTGCTGACGGTCAGGGTGATTGAGGAGAGCCTCCATCGGCCAGTGGCATTGCCCCTGGAAGTTCATATTGTCACTATGGAGGACGAATTTCCTGGTGGTGTGATTGGTCAACTGCATGCCACTGATGCTGATCCTTATGATGCACTGACCTTTGGCCATGCCCCCCCAGCCCAGCGCAGTCTATTTAAGATCAGTCCTCGTGATGGAAAGATCATTGCCCTGGGTGGGTTGGACGCAGGCAGGTATTCTCTCAACGCCAGTGTTAGTGATGGCCGCTTCGCTGTACCTGTGCCTGTGAGCGTGCACGTGGAGCAGGCGACACCAGAGATGTTGCGTGAGGCAGTGACAGTGCGCTTTGAGAGTGTGGCACCACAAGACTTTGTTGCAGTGCACCTGAAGAGCGTGTTAAAGGTGTTGCAGCAGGCTGCCGCATCACAACAGCAGGACACACTGCACCTGCTCAGTCTGCAGCCTGTTGGTGGGACACAACAACTGGATATGCTTGTCACTGTGGAAACAGCGGGGGGCGGATACTACAAGGCAGCCTACCTTACCCAGAAACTCAGTGCATCACGACGGCAGCTGGAGGAGGTGCTCAGAGTGTCAGCTATCCTTGATAAGAACTGCTCTGGCTTAGAGTGTCGCGGGGCACAGTGTGAACAGAGCATTATTCTGGATTCACATAATCTGGCTACATACAGCACACCACGGGTCAGCTTTGTCTCACCTCGCTTCCACAGGACTTCACACTGTACTTGCAGTGGTAAGTGAAAGAATCTTATAAAAGTTCCAAGGCTTTCTTTGTCAGTCTGTAGTCTAACCCTAGACTGTATGGACATAGCAAGAGATGACATCACCCATTGTTTTATATTGGAGTTGAACTGAAGAGAGTAGAGAATGGCATTATGGTTGATGCAATGATTTCAAATTGTAGCCTCCCAAATCTGCACAATGGGGTTAGGTAGCTAGGAGTCACACTTAAAACTTGAATAGAGTACATAGCTTAAATGTACAGCATCATTAGTATATGAACCAATGGACAAGGTGCATTATAAACATTCTACTTAATGCTACAATTGTATGTAAATTACTCTAAAATTAGAAACCATTAACAAAATGAACAAAGATTTACATACTGAAAAGATACAGGTAGAACTGTGGAAAATGTGTTGTCTGCTCCACTAAAACTTTAGGGGCTAAGTTTGACAAATGGGATAAGTTTGTGGGAGAGTCGAGCAAAGAGCAGCAATTAGCAGTTGAACATGTATCAGAAAAGTCGATGTAATGGAATCCAATATGGCAGCAAGCACGCCGGATAGGTTTGAAAGTGTTCTCACTGCAAACAGCTCTAATCCTGTATTAACCAGTAAAACTTGAAATTCTGTCATAAACAGACATGGATAGAGTCAAAGTTGACAAAGAATACAACATAAATGGCCACCTAAAAATGGTGACTAAACGAAATCCAGGCAGAACAGAAGAAGTGCCAAAAGAAACTACCACACGGCAGCTAGGAGCGGAACATGTGCTAACAGTAACGGAAATTAGGTGATGAGAATCATTTTGGACAACTTGGGCAAGCACTGAACCTGAAGTTGCTCCTAATTGCAGGCAAGTTATGCTGCCATGGGTATATGAAAGTCTGTGTAAATGTGTGAATGAGAAACACACTGTAAAGTGCTTTTAATACCACTGAGGTAGAAAGGATATAATATAATAACCATATAAGTTTAGTTGAATTTTCAATTCAATTTTATTTGTATAGCGTGGTTTACAAAATATATTATCACATAGCGCTTAACATAGTAATGTATAGACCGTATAAATCTAAACAGAGGACCCAACAATCTCCCCCCATCTGCCTCGATCGATTATAGATGCAGACCAATAATAGAAAATGATTAATGCCACCGTAGTTTATCGCTACAGTTAATGTAATAGGTTAGAAATTATTCTTTTATTTTATTCTATTTTTTTAATTAAATGTTTTGTATTTCATTGATGTTATTTTAAGAGTCACAGGAAGTTTTCTGTAGCAGGAAGTAAGAGATTATCATAATAATATCATGTTTATATTATTTATTTATATGCTGGCTTGTACTGGAAAATAAACCAATCAAATGTATAGGCTTTATTTGGACAGTGAATTTTTTGCCTGCGCTGCCATTCACTTTGAGGATTATTATTTTTCAGACAAAAGAGTCCAACAATATAATCATAGCAGTGAATAGAAAATAGTTGGTAATGACTGAAATAAATGTTGAAGTCTTAATGAGATGTTTTTTGATATTTTTCACATTCTAAAAAATAATTTTTAGAATAATTGATGGGAAAATTAGCTGTCACATTAATCGATTAATCACAACGATGTGCCAGGTATTCCTAACAGATGTTAACTAATTTTAAATATTGTTTTCATAACCCAACGCAGTCAGTGCCAAGTGTGATACAGTTAGGATGAATGATTGCTTGTTGACTCGGGAAAAACTGCAAGCAGCAATATCGCGGGACATGAAATAGGTCAGGTCTGAATGACAGAGTTGCTTTGTTTATTCCCCTATCTCTTTTGTTTTTTTCTTTCTTTTTTGAGACTCTCTAGCTGTCAGTTCATGTTCTTCATGATAGTCTAAATGTATTTTTTGTCTGTCCTTGTGTATGTGTGTATAGATGCCAGCTGTGCTGTCCTGTCAGAACAGTGTGAGGACCAGCCGTGTCCAGCAGACATGCAATGTGTATCAGTGGAGGCTACCAGAGAGCGCTATGCCTGCCAGTGTCCACCAGGCAAACTGGGAGAGTGTGCAGGTGCGTGTCACTGGAAAAACCAGAGAAATAATGCAGAAAAATTCTATTTGTTTACTAATTTATGTTATTTATTTTATTTCTATCAAAATTGTATGCAAAATACATGCTTTTAATTTTTTTTAAAAAATGCTTTTCAACCTATGACAGTTTTTCTCAGTCGCTTTGGTACATTTCTCGAATCATCCTCGACATTCGCAAAACAATAAGTGCAATTCTCAAAACAATTTGTACGAATAGCAAAGCACCATGGATTACCTGCAAAAGGCAGTTACTTGCTAAAAATCCTTAGTTCATCTCTCAAAAGTAAATATCTGTGTCAAAGAACATGTCAGTGCCATCAGAATGACAAGCCTTGGCGTCAATGTGTACAGATAAGACAATCAAATTGCTTCGTCTTGTTGTCAATATAACTGTACTCTGGAGGGATGTTCTGATGTAAACTATGGCTAATGGCTTGATGACAATTATTGTAATTTGTGAGTTACACCTTAGTGCATGTGGGACATTGATTGCGAGAGACTGGACAAGATTCACATTTAGGCTTTTACTGTTTGTACTGTAATTTGTTGGCAGACCATGTCATTGTGATACAGAAAGGAAAAGGCAGCACTGCATAGCACAAAGAAAATAACAAAAGTAGAAATGTACACATAGGATAATCTCCTTAGAGAAAACTGTACATGCAGTGCTGTAGGAATTACAATGCAGTTTCCCTATACCTCCTGACGTTCCTGTCTGTTGGGCCACAAATTCTCATTCACATCACAACCAATACCTTCTCTTGCGATGCAGTGTGGAAAGAATCTTTTAGAGAGTCTTATTCAGCCTCTGCAGGCATCTGCTGTGATGTCATCACATGCTGCATCCATGGTAGCCAGAAGGGTCATCTGTGCATGTGGCAGGCTATTATATACTTTCCATCTCCATACTGAGAAAAATTCCTCAATGGAGTTAAGGAATGGGGAGTAGGGTGAGAGGAACTCCATCAGCATCCTGTTGTGGGTCACAAACAATTGCCTGATGATGTTGGAGCGATAGAAACTGATATTCTCCCAAACTATCGCATACTTTGGCAAGTCATCTCCAATCTGACCCCTCTCTTGTTCACGGATGGGATCCCTGTCTGTAGAGAGTGTCTAAAAAAAGTGACAAGATGCTCTGTATTGTATGGTCCAAGTGGAATGCAAGTGGAATACTGTAATATTGTATGAAGCATTACAGAAAGTATACAGTATTACAGTACAGTGCCTATTGTTAGATTATATGCCCGTTCTCTCCAAAAAGAAGTCTGAATGATTGAGGACACAGTTGTTTACCCAACATTTGGCTGCACCCTTTGACCAACCTTGGCCATTGTAAGCCTATGGTAGAGAATGTGGACTACAAGTGTGGCTCTTATTTCATCAGGAACGTGTATATGTCCTCGGCCTCTTCTGCCTCTTCCTCTGTTTTGCCTCCCAACTCCTCCGCCATGCAGCCTCACTCCTCTGCTTCTTCTTCTTCTTCTTCTCTCTGGCTGTTTACCCCATCCAATTCCTTGTCCTTCCATTGTCAGACATTGTGACATTGTGTTGTGCTCTGGCTATATCTGTATACTTGCCAGTTGATGGGTCATAAGATGCACCTTTGAGCTATTTCAGAAAACTGGTTGATCATTGGTTGATCTATGTAATGCTACGCATTTTGCTTCATTAGAGAAAGTCAAGCTTCACCTGGGAGCAATTTACCAATTCAGGACAGATTTAGAAAAAAGAAAAGTCTCACGGAAATGTATAGAAATATGCTTGACATATTATGACAACGTTCAACCATTTTGCATGTAAAGACTTATGCGATGAGCTAATACCTAAATGTTGTAGGGAGTCAGACTATTCAACAGAGACCCATTATAATACATTTTGATCAACATGACATAAGCAATTGATAATGTAGGAGACAGCAGAGAATTGTACATAATCATTTGCATGGATGTACCAAAGCATTTAGAACTTGTTCAAAGACATGAGAAACTGCTTTTTTGATGTGCGCAAGTGACACAATGATGTAAAGATTGAACAAGTAGTTTTGAGAATTTCAATTCTGATCTGAGAAATGTATCAAAGCGACTGAGAAAAATATAAGAGCAGATTCAACATGTGTGTGGACCTATGCGTGTGATTAGAGGGCCCTTTTGGTGGTAATGGGTGCTGAGAGTGATGTGTAACATAGTGCATTGTTCTGGGTGCAGGTCATTCGTCTCTGAGTTTCTCAGGTAACAGCTACATCAAGTACAGACTGTCTGACCGGCTGCAGACGGAGATGAAACTCAGTCTAAGAATCAGAACCCTGCAGAGCCGAGGAATCATCATGTACACACACACTGAGCCCTGCACAATGCTTAAGGTACATACACACATATGGTCATGTTTCAATCACTTAGGGCAGCGGTCCCCAACCTTTTTGCACCATGGACCGGTTTTAAGCAAGAAAATTTTCTAAGGACCAGTCATCGCACACATAACAAAATGTTTTTTTTCTATTAAAAAGTTTCAGAAACAAATAAAATTACTTTTTACTGCTAAATATTTGCTTTTTCTTCTGTCTCAGTGTCAAGTCTCTCCCACTATCCAAAGAAGCTCTCCAGAGACGTTTGCTATTTTTATTCATTTCGGCAGCGGTTAGACTGACGGCTCCACTTAACTGCAGAGCATGAAAACTGACAGAGTCAGAAACAAGCAGAGACGGAAGTGACGGGAAAACAAGATAGTCATTCTTCCAAAATAAAACACCACGCAGACTCCGCTGGAAATAAAAATAAACCAGTAGAATGTTTTTATTCTTTCTGTGCAGCCTGGTACCAAATGACCCACAGCCCGGTACTAGTCCGCAGCCCGGTGGTTGGGGACCACTGACTTAGGGGATATTACACTGACTTACACTCTTTTCCTGGAGAGTAACCCTCACCCTAACTATCACCACTGCTTGTCTAACCCTGACCAAAACCTAACATTTCATTATCCGTAAGCCAAGTTTTCACCTCAAGATGTAATGATTTACATCATCAGACTGTTTAACAAAGAGATTTATGTTCCTACTAGATGAGTGTTTTAACTAAGTTAAGTCCATTAAGTTATTTAATTTACCAGATGTAATCGTTATACATTTTACTGACATTGCATTTGTGATTGCTACTGTCATGAGAAAATTTGTCTTAACACCCAGGCATGACTCAGACTAATTAGAAAAACCTTGAAATTGTATAACAGTACTTTAAAACACTACAAGTTGAAATTCATTAAATTAGTGCTGCATGAGAAGTTTGTTTGATTATATAAAATCTTCCCACCTGTTACAACAATGGTATTTCAATTTTCCCACTGTGATTTCTTTTCTGTAGTATTGTGGTATTAGTTAAACTGTTATTTTTCATTATACTTTCATAACACTTGACATCCTTGCTAGTCTTACAATTATAATATGAGACCAATACCAGTTCAAACAAACAACTATCTGTGTGTACTTGCTGTGCAGTCATAGCAGCTAATTAAAGTAAAGCAAAATTCCAAATGCATGTATTACATGGAAATAATCCCAACAAGACATTCTAATGGAGAGTTTGATAGACGACATGCAGTTGACTCAGTGATTTTTCCTTTGATGCATTAAATGCCTGACTGGATATACAATGTAATGTTAAAGGTCTCTGTGTCTGTGTGTGTGTGCTGTGTGTGAGCAGCTAGAGGAGGGGAAACTGTGGTTCCAGATGGCCTGTGGTCTAGGTGGAGCTGGAGGTGGAAGTGGTGACAGTCACGACATTTTGGGAATCTCTAGTCGTCGTATCAATGATGGAAGCTGGCACACAGTGGTCCTGGAGCTGAATCACAACTTTATTAGCCTGGCACTGGATGACAGCTACGTTGAGCAACGCCGTGGATCATCATTTGTACAACCTCTCGCTCCAGACCAAACCATCTACTTTGGAGCACTGGTCAGTTCATGAGTAGCTGTAGCTGACATATATGGTTTAAAATGGTAAATGGTCTGCACTTGTATTACCAGTGTTGTATTAGTGGTACTCAAAGCACATTAACAATGTTTCCCATTCACCCACATACATATTCACACACCAGTGGCGACAGAGCTGCAACAAGGTCCCCTGTCTGTCATTCCAACTTGGGGTTCAGTATCCCAAGGACACTTCGGCAAGTGAATGGGGTGGGGGATCGAACCAGAAACCATGTGATCAGTGGACAACCCACTCTACCACCTGAGCCACAGCAGCCCAAAAGGGCAGTAACCAGCTCTGCAGCTTTAGGGCTACTAGACAAATGTTGGACATATGTTTGATATATAGTGTTCTGTCATGGCCAGTATTTGGATTTGTGATCACCACTCCTGAGAAACTTTGAAGTTGATTATTAGTGTTGTTTTTTTGGAGGGCTTGAGTAGGAAGTTGTTATCCACGCACCATGCAGTCAGTTTTTGAACTACATCCCTGCAGGCAGACGCATTGTGGTTTTGTACAAGTCCCTCTACAGTTGTGTCATCTGCAAATCAGGAAGAGTGATGGGACCCCAGTCCCTAAACCATCAAATCTGCTTGTATTGATCAGTCTTATAATCAGAAGTTGTGAACTCTGATTTCATTGACATCCAGTTCACAAACAATGAAATACACTAGAGAACCATCAATTATCTTACATAGAACTTTTCTTAACTACTCCTACAATCAAAAAGTAAACAACAATGAAGTAACACACCACAAACATTGAATAAATGAATGCAGGTAAACAAACTAATCAACTGTGATCATCACTGGAAGCAGTTGGTAGAGTGGTGATCAATTTAGAATCGCTTTGGCACTGAGAAGTCAATTGTAATTTCTAAATTCACCCATTTAGCAGAAAGAAAATGACACTTGGATAGCCTTTGAAGGACAAAGAGGGAGGCCAATGCAGGATGTGTATCTGTGAGGATCTGCTGGAATGTAGAGACAGTACAGCATCTTTGCATAGTTGCGTGAAAAAGCATGCAGAAGTAAAAATACTAAGAGTCAAAGCTCGTAGTTAAAAAGAAAACATTTGCGCAGTTGCATTATGAAGGTAAGATTTTATTTCAGCACACACACATAAAGATAGCTTGTGAACCATGAGTGAATATAAACTGAATTTGGCACAAAATGTAAAGTCCAGTACAATGGATTACTCAGGTTTTAATAGTTGTTCCTGATGTTGAATTAGTTTTAGATGAAAGAGTTTAGTTGATTTAGAAAAAATGTTACATCATTCAACAGTACTTTTACAGTGATATTTTTTAGTAAGCATCTTGAGGACCATTTAGACAGACTGTCAACATTAGTCCTGAAAGTGAGTCATTCATTCTGACAGCAACTCAAAAGATATTTGATAAAAGTACCTTTAGTGTTACATATTACATACATGTATATAAACAAAACATTTTTACTCTCTTAGTATATCTAAACATGTTCAGTGCACCTTTTTCATTTAAAATGAAAATGTAGCAGAGCATTGAAAACAGATTGTGTCAACATGCAAAAAATCCTAACTCCTCTTTTGTCAGGTGCAGCCTCCCAACTCTCGCAGCCTCATGGGCTCTCAGAAAGACCCGCGGGTGCTTGAAGGTTTCCAAGGATGCCTGGACTCAGTCATGCTGAACAACAATGAGCTGCCCCTGCAGAACAAACGTTCACAATATGCAGAAGTGGTGGGACTGACAGAGTTAAAGCTGGGATGCATCCTCTATCCTGATGCCTGCTTGCAGCAGCCTTGCCGCAATGGAGCCACTTGCACCAGTCTTCCCTCTGGTGGTGAGTAACAGAAAATTCAGCAAAAGGCGCAGTCACCACACAATGATCTTCCTATACAACAGGATAATTAGGTCTATGTCAATCAAAATGGAGGAGATTAACTGGCACATTCTGGAAAAAAAGACAATAAGAGTGGAGAGCTGAAACCATGACTAGCTGACATGTTATGTAGTTTACATGCAGCTTTTTACAACAGCTGACATACAGCTATAACTATTGTAGCTATTGTAGCTATAACTGCAATACCTACAATGGCATTTGTTCATGAAAAAACTTGACAGCTTGAAAAAGGACGTGTTAGCAATAGCTGTATACACACACACACACACACACACACCACACACACAATAATGCTGGAATACCAATGCAAGACCTGGAAACATGAATAAACAAAGGCACAACTTACAATCATATGAAAAATAAATAAATAAATAAATATATCATGGGAAGAAAAAAAAAAAATATATATATATATATATATATATATGGACAAGTCGTGTTAATCCCACTTCACGCCCTCACAACTCCAAGTGTAGAATGAGTTTCATAGCGGCATACGTTTTGGGTGTTATAGTAAGTATAAACTAATAAGAGCAATAAAATACCACCGGGTAGGTGGAGCTTGTTAGCCTTGGTTGGCAGTCTACCGAGGAGAAGGAAAACTCTGATTTCAAACCTTGCCTTGCGGCAATACCCTGTCCGGGATAGGCCATCAAATTCTGCCACCTTGAAACCAGATAGCTCCAGGCAGATGAGGCTCGACAACCAAGGCTGGCAACTCGTCTAGGAGAGAAAACTCCAAAATCAGCCGCCGCTGCCTCACGGCTTTACCCATCCATGGGAGAGACTTTGGGAGAAAACGCTGAGGATAAATCCAGAGCTGGAGTCCGTTAGGCGGTCCGTTGTTGTTACAACCTCGTTCCGGCAACTCCTGCATCGCCCTGATGCCAGGCGTATTTGCTTTGTATTTCCTCTGTACCCCATCAGCTGCAAGGAGAGGAGAGACCTGGGCAACATTCTGTCCTCCATATCAACTTGCTCAAGCTTGTACCTGGAGAGGCCAATCCAGCTTGGCTGTTTTCAGCATAGGGCATAACACGAGGAGCAGCAGTCTACCAGTCAAAAGACTGCCACTCCCGCATTGGCTTGTTTAGCCACGCCAAGAAGTGTGTGAGTGACGGAACATGGCGCATCCCATCGTCTCGTGAGACAGAAGAAGGCTGATGATGACAAAACATAGAATATGAAATGACAGCAAAAATATGAGTCATATATATATAAAAAATAAACACCAGATAAAAACCAGGGTAGAGAAATGGTTTACTTTTAAAGAAATCCACACTCTTTGCCTCTCTTGGGTACTGTGGCTGGCGATAGTGGCCTAAACCAGTCTGTCCATCAGTCAGCTGGACCAGACCACTGCCAGAAGACTGGAGGAGAAATCAAATCAAATCAAGTTTATTGTCATTTTGCTGTACATGCACAGTAGTACAAGCAAGATGAGAGAGCATTTCTTCAGGATAATTTAATTAAGTTTTGTGGAATGCACTTCTGGGATAGGCAAGACACTAAACGTTCACTCTCGCTGTCTGCTGAAGGGGCCACTGCATCCATGCATGCTGCCGTCACGTAAATAAAGAAATTGTTGGGACCAAGATAGTTTTGAGATTGTACTTTAATAAAGGAAATTCAAATAAATACTAAAACGAACAGGTGTCCAGTGCAGCAATTTTAATATAAATAAGTGTATTATTTGCTTTACAAGTTGTAGGTAGTCAAATGAGGTGTAGTGATGTAAAATATGAGAAAAGTAATGTTCTCTTTGAATATTATGGCATGCAAACATAATCACACTAGAATGCCCTTAGTAGAGAGATGTAGTTCCCCTGCTGGTCATGATATGGAATTTCTGAAAAAGTGACCTTTGACCTCTAGCGGAGCTATTGTTACACTGATTGACCCCAAAATCTAATCATTCAGAGCTTATCTGCAAAATATTAACTTGCTAGACCTTAGCACGAAACCTAGAGACTGTTCACAGACTCACAGACAGACAGACACACACACACAGAAATGAGACCGATTACTCTGTAGTTAGTCAGAGGCAACTATGATAATGTCTACAATACACTTGGTTTTGAAGAGGTTCAAATTAGTTTCAGCACTACAGCTGTAGTTTTCAGAAAACTACAGATTATACCACAGTGTTGTACTGTTTCACTGAGTATTTAGAGCACATAGATAGCGTGTGTGGGACTGAGTAAAAATAAACTACAGAGTAGGTGTACATAGTAAAGGAGCATGTCACCCAGTCACCCAACAGTGTGACTCACTGATATGTCTCTACCTCCTTGAAGTCCCTGTACCAATACCGGGCTGATCTGTTACAAAAATGCATCTGGCACCATTTCTGAAGGTTGCCAAGCATGACACATTCACCAAGTACAAATGTGAATAAAATGGATGTTGCATTCTTTGTGGTACAGTTGCAGTATACAAGTTTTACAACAGGTCCAATACCATAGATGTCACTCACTCACTATTATGAGGCTGATATTTACTCTCTAATTCACAGTTTTGATTGGGGGGAAGCAAAAATGTCTGTCTTTGTTGTCACTCTTGCCAGGCAAGAAGGATTAGGAGACTTATTTTATTTTCAGATTTTCTCAATTGCCACAGAGTTCAATGTTGTTCTTTTTTGCTGTACAGCTTTTTACACACGTGAACAAAATTATTGGTACTCCTCGGTTAATGAAAGAAAAATCCACAATGGTCACAGAAATAACTTAAATTTGACAATTAAAACTTAATCAATGAAAATCAGACATTGCTTTTGAACCGTGGTTTACCAAAAACAAAGCTGATGTGCCTTGCCAAAAAGTTTCAGTTGTGTCTCGTCTGTCCAGAGGACATTCTCCCAGAAGCTTTGTGGCTTGTCAATATGCAGTTTGGCAAATTCCAGTCTGGCTTTTTTATGATTTGTTTTTAACAATGGTGTCCGCCTTGGTCATCTCCCATGAAGTCCACTTTGGCTCAAACAACGACTGATGGTGCGATCTGACACTGATGTACCTTGACCTTGGAGTTCACCTTTAACGTCTTTAGAGGTTGTTCTGGGCTCTTTTGTTACCATTCCTATTATCCATCTCTTCGATTTGTCATCAATTTTCCTCCTGCAGCCACGTCCAGGGAGGTTGGCTACAGTCCCAAGGATCTTAAATTTCTGAATAATATGTGCAACTGTAGACACAGGAACTTCAAGCTGCTTGGAGATGGTCTTATAGCCTTTACCTTTAACATGCTTGTCTGTAATTTTCTTTCTAATCTCCTGAGACAACTCTCTCCTTGGCTTCCTCTGGTCCATGTTTAGTGTGGTACACAACCATGTCACCAAACAGCACAGTGACTACTATGCTAATTAGAGGACACACCTTGATTGAACATGTCCCTATAGTCACATTATTGTCAGTCTTTTCTAGGGATACCATCATTTTTGTCCAGGCCTGTTTCATGAGTTGACTTTGAAAGCAATCCTGTTGAACCACGGTTCAAAAGCAATGTCAGATTTTCATTGGTTAATTTTCATAGAATTTTTATTTATAATTACTTTTGTCGGATTCACGTTATTTCTGTGACTGTTTTGGGTTTTTCTTTCATTAACTGAGGGGTACCAACAATTTTGTGCACATGTGTAGCTGTTACTGACTAAATTTGGGGGTGTTAGTTGGATTTTTTTTTTTTTTAAAAAGCTGACGGCTTAAGGGGATTCATAGTTTTTGACAACGTGGTAGTCCGAAATCAGACATATCAAACTTAGGATACACACACTAAACTTGTAAGAGGGATACATTAATTAATTTGAATATTTTTCTGGGACTCATTACCCACAACGAAGATGGAGATACTTGGAATTGTGTGTGTTTGTCAGAAAAATTATGTGAGCCAAATTTTATGAAACCTGGTGGAGTGGTAAGGCATGGACAAAAGAAGTACCTGTTAATTTTTAGTGCAGAACAAGACTATTATTTTTTTTTTCAATTGCAAGATAAGGCATTGACCACCACAGAGGTGTGTACGCTGTGAATGCAATTTTTTTTTTTTTTTAAAACAATATATCATACTTATTAAAAGTCCAGTCCACCTTGTCCAGATGAATTTAAAGCCACTTTGAAGATCTCACAAATTCAGACTAATCTATCACTACAAATCAGGACTGGGTCCCAAGTAGTTGATCTATTTTCTATAAACTTTATCCTCTGGAGATCATGGGGGGCTGGATCCTATTCCAGCTGACAGGGTGAAGGCAGGGTACACCTGGAGCAGTCACCAGTCTATTGCAGGGCTACCACAGAGAAACACCCACACTCTCTCCCAATTTAAAAATATCAAACAGGTGCAGGGAGAACATGTAAACTCCATAAAGAAAGATCACAGGCTAAGATTCGGAGAAATTAAAACTTAGGACCTCTTAGCTGTGAGGCAGCAGTGGTAGCCACTGCTCCACCATGTGGTCAGGAAGGGGAGAATTAAATATACAAACTGAAGTGTAAGCACACAGAGCTCCCAGCAGCAGTGTGTGTTGTCACATGTCCTGCGTTCCTCATTTTCAAAGAGAAAGCATCTTCAGTATTCTAGCAACCCACTGTTGCCACTTACACAGCACTGTGGAAAGGCTAATGTGTGTTTCTGATGCACTATGTACCCAAAATAAAAATGCTAATTTCCCGGTTTGTTTTTTTTACATGATTGTAAGTTGTGCATTTGTTTATTCATGTTTTCACATCTTACATTTGTATTCCAGTGCATTATTGAGCGTGTGTGTGTGTGTGTGTGTGTGTGTGTGTGTGTACGTGGCATTTCCCAAAGAAAGTTTTGTGTGTGGTTGGCAAAGCAGCTGTAAATATCTTACTAACTCCTTATCCCCCTCCTCCCTGTGTATCTGCCAGGGTTCTCATGCAACTGTAACCCCCAGTACACAGGAGGGAACTGTGAAATGGAGATAACAGCGTGTGTTCCCAACCCTTGTCAGAACGGTGGTGTGTGCAAACCCATCGGCAACGCCTTTCTCTGCAGCTGCAGGAGAGGCTTCAGGGGTCTGACGTAAGTTCCAGGCAAACACAAACCTGAAGTGCAAGTCTTTAAAGGCCTCTTTCACTTAAATTAAAGAAAAATGTGTGTTATTACACCCTTTGTTACACGTTTAGCAGTATCTTTCTATCCAGGTAGTTTTGGTTTTGTTTGGACAGGTTTGAAGATATGCCTCTGACTTTTCTGCCATCATTCCAGTGTAACAGAGGAGAATTGGATTTAGATTGTCCTGATCGCTGAACCTTAAAAAGTAAAAATCAACGTGTTTTTCCTAAATCTTGAAGTACTTGCTCCCAAAGAAATAATCCAATCAAAGACTGTTAGGTTGTGTTCTGTGCATTATTGAGTAACATTTTGCTTAACTAGATACTAAACTCCCATTTACGGCATACCCTGTCTTCGACCTAAGTCAGCTGGGAGAGGCTATTAAAGTTTGAATGCACACTCTGGTAACTTTTCCTCAAAGGTAGTGTTGTAATCTTATTAGATCTCATCAAATAACATTTCCATTTTAATTTCGGCATGGCACAAATCTCAACCGCACCCAGTTACATCAGCAGGTAGACACACACAAGCAACTGTTACTTAAGTTGTGCAAGACTTTTCCACATTTCATCACCAGTGGTTGTCCAAAAACATGGAGAGAGTCTTTCCTCTGGGATAATTAAAAACCTGTAGCATCAAACAACAACAGAATCCATACGCATCTCCAAAGCAAGAGAGCTGTATATATTTGTGCCTCAGATGTTAGTGCCGTCACCTCACGTCCCAGTTAGGATGCTTGGGATCTTTCTGTGTGGAGTTTGCATGTTCTCTCTGTGCAGCGTGGGTTCTCACCAGGTACTCCAGCTTCCTCCCACAGTCCAAAAACATGCTGAGGTTAATTGGTGATTCTAAATTGACCATAAGTGTGAATATGAGTGTGCTTGTTTGTGTCTATGTGTAGCCCTGTGATAGACCAGCAACCTGTCCAGGGTGTCCCCTACCTTCGCCCTGAGTCTGCTGAGATAGGCTCCAGCCCCCTCACGACCCCAGTGAAGATTCAGCAGTGTATAGATAATGGATTGATGGATGACAAAGCATACTAAGGCAATGCTGTGCACAGACATTCTTGAGGGTGGAAAGCAAATTCTCAGAGAATGCCTTGTTGGTCTAAAAAGTCGGTGCATATTTAAATGCTGTCAGAGGCTTTTGGAGCTGTATGTTAAAATGTTTATTTCACCCTGTCCAGAGAAGATGATTCCTTCATTTGCATGCTGAGGCTGAGTACCAGTTTTACCTTGGTTGTATCCTGGAATGTAGATTGTCATTTCATCTCAAATATTTCAATTTTTAGAACAATTTCAACTCAATTTGCCTGAAATTTCAACACCACAAAATATGGATATTTATAAAGATATTTGTATAAAGGGAACAGTTTTGATAAGTAATGTCCTTTCTAAAACAAGGACAAAACACTTCACCAACATTATTATAATTCATTTTCCCTACAATAGTGACCTTACATTTTCTTTGAATTTGTTGAAAGCTAAATGGTGCTGAAATCTATGTTGACGCCGTGCATTGAAAAAAACTGTAAAATAATCTAAATCGTACTAAAGACAAGGAAACTGTGTTGTGTTTAATTCTTCTGCAGTCTATCCTCTGTTCCAAGTTATTCGTACATTTTTTCATATCAGTTTTTTTCCCCCTCTTTCCTCCATTCTTACATCCTGCAGTTGTGAGGAAGATGTGAACGAATGTGACCGCAACAATCCAGAGGGTGAGTGTGAGAATGGTGGCACCTGCGTCAACACTCACGGTTCCTTCTACTGTAACTGCACGGCAGGCTTTGTCGGCCAGCGGTGCAGCCTTCGGCCAGTCGTCGTCCCAGACATGCAAGCTGGCCATGCTGTGGTTGGCAAGGAAGAACTGATTGGCATTGCTGTGGTGCTGTTTGTCATCATTACCCTCATCATCCTTTTCATCGCATTCCGCAAGAAGGTTTTCCAGAAGAACTACTCACGGAACAACCTATCTCTGGTCCAGGACCCGGCCACTGCAGCACTCCTCAACAAGGCCAATGGTGTGCAGTTTAAGACCTTACACTGCACATCAGGAGACCCTCTCAACCTTTACTCAGAGACAGGTATTGGGACCACCATGGTTGGAGGGGGTGGAATGATGGGACCTCCACAAGTCCCTGTGAGGCCAATGGCATACACACCTTGTTTCCAAGGAGATCCACGGTCCACACTGGAGAAGATGGCAGATGGACGCAGTGTGGAACATACAGAGATGAGTACTTTTCACCCAGAGTCACCAAGAATCCTGTCAGGAACCACCAGGAGAGGGGTGGTGGTGTGCAGTGTTGCCCCCAACCTTCCACCAGTGTCACCTTGTCGCTCAGACTGTGACTCCATACGCAAGAGCCCATGGGACAGTGATGAGGGTGAGTATGTGTGTGTGTTATACTACCTGCTTAAGTCTTTGGACTGTGGGAGGAAGCCAGCGAAGGGATAGCATGCAAACTCGACACAGAAAGCCCCCAGTCGACCCTTGTTGTTAGGTGACAGTGATGACCACTGCTCCACCATGCTGCCCATTGACCTGTGTAGTTTAGGCATTTGTTCAAGCATAGGTCACAAGTATTTTTTTTTTGTTTGTTTGTTTAATTAAGAATTTAGCTCTAGTTCCTATAGCAATAAAAACGGAAATAGCAGCTTTTTGTGTCTTCTTGGGAGGAGTGTTAGCCATTCGGCAGCTTCAAATGTAATATCAATGTAAAATATTCCTATTATATTCATTTAATTTTCTCACTTTTAAATGTATACATGCCTATAACATGAGTTAAGATGTCAACATTTTTCAACGCAATAACCGACATCTGCAAGTCTAATTACTTGTATTTACCTAATTACCACAGCTGGCTAATGCACATTCAGCTCCAACCTAAACTTTAGTTAAGACAGATTCCTAAAAAAAGTTTTTGTTCCAATGAGGATTAGGACACAAAGAAAAAATAATTATATACACAGCAAAAGTAGTTTTCCTTAAAAATGTACAGTCGTCCTCAAATGTATTCATACCCTTCCATTAAAGAAAAGGCAAAATTCACAATAGTCACTCAAATAACTAGAAACTGAAAAAAATAATAATAAATAAAATTTTGCTAAATTAGAATTTAGTGAAATAAGACATTGCTTTTGAATTGTGGGTGAAAAGAATAATTTTTTTTTTTTAAAAGAAAAGGAAAAAAAAACTGTCCCGGGCAAATTAGAGCACTTTGCTGATGAGCAGTGGGCCAAAATACCTAACAGGTGCAGAAGTCTGACTGAGAGTTACAGAAAACACTTGATTGCAGTGATTGCCTCAAAGGGTTGTTCAACAAAATATTGGTTTACAGATCCCATCATGCTTGTTTGTTTATTATTACTTTTGTCAATTTCAACCTATTTCAGTGACAGTTGTTTTCTTCCGTCTTTAACGGGAGGGTAGGAATGAATTTGAGGACAACTGTATCTGGCACATTGAAATAACGTTTTATTTTTCATCTTATTTTTCACCAGTTGCGTGAGCCTAGTACTGAGCCTAAAATTATATATGAGAGGAAGAATTCCCCTTACCATACATATGAAATAGCATGGCCCAAAAAAGAATCTCTAAAGAAAAGGTCAGTTGGCATAAATAGTATGTCTGTTGTTTTTACTCAGAGGTTGAAATAGGGTCATAGAATAGACCTGAGTGTACAAAATCACAAATAAACTACAGCACAGAGACCAAGCTGCTTATTTCACCCACCGTGCTACTGACTTGCCATGAGTCCTTACATCACACTTTATAAGTAAGGGATAATGCCCGACGAGGTGTCCATTATCAGAAATTAATGGACGACGTGGAGGCGTGAACCGTCCGACGCGAAGCGGAGGACGGTTGCTTCCGCGAAGTCCATTAATTTCTGATAATGGACACCTCGAAGGGCATTATCCCGCTTATACCATGGTCACTTACGAAAGATATTACTAAATAAATATTAAATCAATTATTAATACGTTAATGTTGTTTTTTACCGTTAAAATCGTAAGTTTTCCACAACAAGCGGCTGAGCGGACTATTTCATGTCTCTCGTTGTGACGCGTTGCCAAGGTAACCGGTCGGCCGCAGCTGTCTTGCCGTTGTGATAAATAAACTGAAATAACGTATATTAACGTATGTTCTGAGTTTCTGTTGCCACGGTTACCAACTACCGTTTGAGTCAGCGCATTAATTTAGAACAATCAGGTTATTTGACCGGAACTTCTTCATAGGTGTCCTATATCACTTATTAATGGACACCCTGCAGCCAATCAGAATCGAGTATTCACCCAGACCATGGTATAAAGCAAATTATTTAGCACATCCATTATACCATTAGCATAAATTCCTTTTACTTCAGGCATAGATCTATCCCTAAATTTAATTCGATAGGCACTTGTGAGTGGGACTTTTAAACAAAAAATACAACCATTTCTTTTCTTTTTCTTTTTCTTTTTTTTAGCTATCTACAGCTAAAAAATGGTTTCCACTGGTACTTTATTAAATGAATACTGTTTTATATTATACACCTGTTTTGTATTCTGATCTCCTGACACCCTAACCTCTCACTGCAGGTAAGATGGTTGACCTGGCAGAAGAAGTAACGTGTTTTTCTGGGAGCAACAAAGGCAGTAACTCAGAGGTCCAGTCACTGAGCTCCTTCCAGTCTGACTCCTGTGATGACAATGGTAAGTTACACCAGTCACAGCAAGAGTGCTTTGTGACCGCCCGAACACTTCAGTTTAGTAGTGTTTGCCAATTTATCATTCAGTTACAATAGGTGTCTCTTCCTTTTGCTCACCAATATCTATACAAATCAGCATTAATCTTCACATTTGAATTGGTGAGAAAATGTTTGTAAAATATTTGGAGTACTATAATGTAATATTTCTGCTTTATTTGTTTCTAAACTATTTATTAGTTAATCCCTGTCATTCAACTACATAGACAAGAAAAGGAAAAGAGTCATCTTTTAACTTCTAAACTAATAGTGTTGACATAAAGATACTGAAAGAATCACAGTTTCAACAGAAGCAGTTATAGAGGGCTTCATGTGTATGTCTGTATGTAATAGAGATGAAAAGACAAGGAAAGGCAGGAGAAGTAGAGAACATGGAAATAGAAAAGAAAAGGTATAGAGTATAGTAATAGCAATAGCTCTTTTCCACTACTGGAACTCAACTGTCACCTGGAGTGTCCCATGAAGATGAACCTATAACAACTCTTATTTTCCTTGGGTGTGCCATGTGTCTCCACTTGGTTTGAGGGTATTTGTCATTAAAAAGATGACACAATTTGGTGTTCAATGTTAAAAGTGGCACTAATATATATTGTCTTTAACATTTATGTGAAATGTTAAGAAGAGCCCTGTTCGAAGTAGGTGGTCAAAAGAATGCAATAAAAGACTAGACCACCTCCCACACAGCTGGCCAGCTCTCCAGAGTTGTGCAACATCATGACTGCCCTAAAGAATGCTCAAACTGCTGCTGCTTCAACTCTCTCTCTCAGGTCCATAGCTAAAGATCAACATATTTAAGCATTTTCAGATAAAATCAGCACAGCTACACTGGGAACATGCTTGATAGTACTGAAGTTGTGATAATGATCTACATGAACATGAAGTGTAGACAGGAGTACAAATTGAGAAAAGTCAGTACCACTGTCAAAGTAATCACCAGATTTATGCAAAATTTATTGTGGATATTTTTTCTTGCCAGAGGATGAGTCATATTATTTTATCCAGCACCACCATCAAAAATAAATGTTCCATGAGCACGTCAGTTATCTTTGGTGTTCAGACAGGCTACAATATCTGATTTTAATGCTTAAATGCTTTGATGCTTTTTAATGCCTAATTGCTTAGATCATATTGATGTTTTTTTTTTTTTTTTTTTACCAGTTTTTACCCTGGTTGTCGAACGGTTTTGGCAGATGCTACATATCTGCATCGTTCTGTGGCTGTTGCTTTTTTCTGTCAGTGCCTGTCCTGTGTCCTCCTGTGTCATATATATATATATATATGTGTGTGTATATATATATATATACACACACACACACACACACACACACA